AGATTACATGGATTGACCATGTTGTCGGTACACCTTGGTAAGAATATGACTCCTGAAGAAGTCATTGACAAGTTGGGAAATAAACCTAGAAAATTATTCATTGTACTATGAAAAAATTAATTTTTGTTAATCAGTATAATATTAAGTTGTATTGATGAATACGATTTTTTAACGTAAGCCCCCCCCCCCTTCCATTGAAAATAGTTGTGTACACCGCTGAATGGGTATGACTATTTTAGTTGATACTTTATGCTGTAGGTGCAAAATATACATGAGCCGGCTGACTATTAGGTGTATGTGTATATAATTTTATATTATTGCCTGGTTCAGTGGTTTTTAAATAATGGGTATTTTTAATGTAGTACCAATATAATTCTTTAATAAGTTGACATATTATATTATATATCTAGTGTCTGATTCCTTTTAATTTGAATGAGAATGAGTATAGTTTATTGGGGATATCGTTGGGATGTACTTACACATTATTAAGTAACTACTATCTACCTAGGTATACTGTTATTCAGTATTATTGATTTTCAAATATTAAGTATATAACATCACCGGAGCTATTGTGAATTTCCCATTTAATTCCTATCATTGAATTTCCTCTATCTAAGAAGTTTTTCGGAACTCAGATGGATTTTCTAGACTTGATATATGACTACTTATTAAGTATCCCGTTGAATTCCTATTATTTAATTCCAGTGAATATTAAAGATAGCATTTATTAAAATTGACCTATATGGCTATATACTCTATTGTAATAGGTAAATGTCTATGTTTGTACTATTAAAACAATATTATATTGATTAGATGATTGATTTATGTTAAAATTATAAGACCTGTCAAAATGATTATCAATTATGATAATAAGATAGTAAAATTAATTCGAAAGTTGATGCATTTTGACTCCATCAACTAATTCTGAAATGTTAGAATTAAAAATATCATAAAATTAGCAATCACTCATGTTATTAAAGGTAGTATTATTATTTAATGAATTTTTTCGTATTTCAGTAAAGAACAGATTGAAACAATTTGAGATAGTGTGTAGTTCATCTAAAGCATTTATGACCTTGTTATCTATTAATACACATTTTATTTCTTTCAATGAATTTATTTCAGTACCTATTTGTAATTTACTTAATTAGTTCCCATGTCAATTTTGGAGTACCTAGACATGACAATAAAACATTTTGATTTAAAAAAATTTATTTTGATGAATCTTAATATTTTTGTAAAATTATTTTGATGAATCTTAATATTTTTGTAAAATTATTTTTATAGTACTTTAATAATTTTTTATTATTTGGATATTTTTTAACGATTTTTTGTTTTTGCAATGCCAAGCATAGTAGCCTTGTTGCATCAAACCTTTCAATCTTTTATTCTGACAACTAATATTTTCAACTCCAGTTGCCTAGGAAATAGCATTATTTAATTTTTCATAGAAAAAAACAACATTTATTTACATTACCAATGTAAGACCCAACTCATAGTTCAGACTTTAATTTATAATTTTTCTAATTTAACAAAGTTAATTGTTTCAAATTCTTAATGGGAAATACAATTATTAAGTTTATTTATTGTAATTGCTAACACTGTAAAGTAATGATCAATAATATTCTTTTGCATTATTCCAGACTCAAAATTATCTATTAATTTATTATTTTTTATCAAAAATATGGTATAAACATGAATGCCTAGAGTTTAAGGTGTCCTAGTATATAGTTATATACATTAATATAAGATTTAAAACCATACATAGATTTCATATCTAAATAATATCCATCATCAACTGAAATAGTTCCTACTATATTTATATCCATGTCTCCTAGACCAGAGATGGCAAATGCATGGCACGCGAAAAGATTTTGTGTGCACGAAAAAATTTTTACTTTTTTATATTATATAATACATAATATTATAGGACCTATAAATTATAATAGCTTAAACTAACCTTTTTATACTGATACATTAATTATACAATCAAATTATAGTATGACAAAATATTATATTTTTATATTTTTTTTCATGGCACGCTCTAAAAAAAATAAAAAGGTTATTACTAATTTTGGGCACGCAGTGTTCAAAATGTTTGCCATCCCTGTCCTAGATGTACTATACAGCTATGATTATTTTTTTCATTTAATAATATATTCATAAGAATGGTCAAAAATGCTATTCATAGGTTGTGATCTATACATGCAAAATAAGATCAAATGCTATTATGCTTCCATAATATCAAACTCAAAAAAATCTCAACATAAATAATTTTTATAAAACTTTATGACACCATCTTAGTTTATTTTTATTTTTTAAAAGTACACGTCATAACCCGCCAATCCGGTAGGAATATATTACAAGAAAGTAGGTATATCATGTCAGATTTCAGTTAACAAGATAATAAATATTGCTAAACAATAATTAATATAAGTAAATTATCATTAATAATGATTCATTATTAAAAATAATATTTTTTGTGAAATTCTCTTTCTACATTTATAATTTAAATATAATATTATTATTATGTTATTCTAATGATTTAAAATTTGTGATATTGTATCAATGTAATTAAAAATGTGTCTTTGTGTATTATTATGCCTTTATGGGTTTTTGGCTAGGGATTTTTTGTCACACCTACATACTTAAATTAGTTGTATTATTATTATAATACATTTTAATTAGGTACTCAAATACATTAAAATAATTTGTGGTGGTTAAAAAATTGTATGTATTCTTATCATATCTTAAGACCCCCAATAAAATAGTATCTTATTAGTTAATATTCAGTTTAAATTATTGGGTCTAGAGGGAATACCTTATTATGTTATTTTAGATTAATTTGGTCATTCCATGGGATTCCTAAAAGGTCCACAGATGCTGGACTTCATTGTGACAAAATGGGAGTTCCTGTTATATTCCCATTGGTTCTTTTTGAAATTACTATGGATTGCTGATGCTATTGAAGCTGTTACATTTGCATCATTAGAAGGTGAGTATTCGCCTCTGTCTGATTTTAGTCGATTGGGTTAGGTGTTGATGATAGTGGTTCAATATGCCTATTTGTATAATTTTAAGAAAATTTAAACTGTGATCGAGAATTATTATCACAATGATAATTAATATTTTTTTAATACTTGGAATATTTATAGTCGTGCGATATACAATTAGTACATTTATATGTAAGTTATGTGTGTGTGGTGTAGGTATTATGAGATCATGTATAGTAAAAATAATATATAATTTAGTTTCTAAAACTAATATACAATTTAGTTTCTAAAACTAATATATTTTTATTCCAATGCTGATATCAACTCACAACATAAGTATCAATATTGCAAGATTGTAACTGCGGTGTTGAAATACAATTTTAACGATTAAGAGTTGCGAATTGTGAGGGAAACAAATGAAATTTGTTTTATAGATATAGGCTGATAAAAGAGTAGTACTAGTTGTTTTACTTTTAACATTATAAACTTATGTAAAATGCAATAATATAATAGTTTTGACAATAAAATATGTAATACAAAATAAATAAACCTTTAATAAAATATTAATAGGATTATTGTCTCTATTAAAGTATTAAATTTAAATTAAATAACTAGGTAGGTATTGACCATTTTCTCGGATAGGTAGTTACAATGATTTCCATAATATCTTCAATAATATATGAGAAGATTATCAGTTGTATTTTCTGTTACTCATGAAATAAAATGCTGTTATTTTGACGAATGTCAATAATATTTTTAGCTTAACTCGAGACATGGGTTTAAAACATACAGATGTATAGCTCCATAAATACAATAAGTACATATTATAAAAATCATATAGATACACATTTTATAGTAAAAATGTTTAGTTTAAACCCAATTATGCTTATTGCACATTTAATAAAACAGTTGGAATTGACAAAACACTCTCTATCATGTATTTGTAGTAGAAAAATATGCAAATAATGCAGTATATAATAGTAAATTTCTCGTACTGTAGTACAGCAGCCACTGAATGGACATTTTAGACTTTAATATACCTACTAAAAACCTAATATCAACTCTTTATAATATATTTATCTTATGTGGTAGCCAGTAGGTTAGGTTAGGTTAGGTTTGTATTATGCGTCGTAACACTATTATAGATGTCCGTGAATTATATTGTAACAATAATGTAACATGACTCTTATGTACCTATACATTATGTAAGCTTTATGTTCACAGTACGAAAACGCAGTTGAACTACTGACCCATAGAGCAATATATTTACTAACAATTTACTGTTATGCCTATTAGTGGTAATTATTTAATAGGTAAGGATAACAATCAAATTTTAACTTAGATACCTATTTAAAACTTATAGGAGAGTAACGGTGAAATTGATTAATAATTTAACATTAAAACAGGTACAGATTTTATTTAATGCTAGTAACACAATTCAATTATACAATTTGAAATGTAATATAGGTAGGTACAAACATTACAATACAACAGTTTAGATATTTTAGAATCATCCTTATCACAAGATGAATTTTAAACATTTTTTTTTTTACATTAAGTAAGAGAATTACCATACATCTAGAAAATCAGATCACTTACAATTTTAAAATTTTAAACAAATAGTTTGGCACATTAAGAACCAACTATACCCAGAAAAATTAAGGAATAAAACACAAAATAACATGGGTACGTGGACATTTAATTTAAAAAAAAATTCATTATATTGATTTATAAAATAAATTAAAACAACTAAATTATGAAAACGATGAATATTAGATATAATATAATAATATAAATATAATGTTTAGATAGGTAGTAAATTGTCTTACATTAATGATACATATCAATCCATAATTAAGTAAATAATACCATTATATTTCTAAGTTATTTTGTAATTTGAGTGGTGCCTTAACTAAAGTGATTTTTTATTCTATAAACAATAGACAAAGAAATATTATGTTTTTTAAAACAAAATATGATGAAAGGTATAAATTAAAAACTCACCACCCTTCTCATTTTTTTTCTTTTGTTCTAATAGCTTCATCATCTACATTGGAAGACAAATCTGCTTGTGCCTGTTCTGTGTTACAGTCTGGATGCAAGTTTTGATAATTCTGCTGTTGTTGATCTTTTTCTATTTTTTCTCTAGTCATATTAACAACAATTAAAAAATGTTAAAATAAAAACAAATTTAACCAACCTTTCGTGTGTAAATAATGAAACAGGTTCAGAAGTATCAGCGAAAAATGCATTGAGCGAAGTTAATCTTTGCAATAATTGTGATTTCTTCCTATTTAGATTCTCAATTCGTATCACACCAGTACCACCCTTTTAGTTCAATAATTGAAAAATTGACGATCATAGATTATTATATATTTATACATAGACTATATTAGATATCTATAATAAGTAATAACAATGTATTTTAAATGTATAATATAAATATTACGTCAGCGTCAGAGCTTGCATTAGATTCACTTCCACTTTTGACGTCTTCATCTCTATCATTCTTGTGCCTTTCAGATTCAAAATTCTCGTCAGCCTCTGTATTACTAATAGCTATTCGGCCCTGTTCATCGCGCACTCCCTGTTTTTGTAATTCTTTAATATTCGTAACTTCGTCAATCCTCTCTTTCTGGTTTAACCCCTTATCTAGATAAAAACAATAAAAAAATACAAATTTTGTCAAAGTAAACAAAGATATGAGACTAATAAAATATTTTTAAAAAAGTGTTATTGTGATTGCATGCGTATATACCTCTGGGCGTATTGCTCATGGCTCATGTAAATAATAAAACGGTTATCAAGTATAAACTAAAAATTTACTGGATTTAGAAATTCTTAAGTAAGTGATGTATTTTGAATAAGATTTAACCAGACAAATTATGTCTTAACCTAGTTTAATTAAAAGATTTAAAATAATGACGCCAATCATGTTTCATATTGCTTATATAGTCATATCAGTTATTATCACTTGGACACACTCGTATTGCATCATACCAGTCTTGGAATAAAAAAAAATACTAAACGCATTAATCATAAGGTTTAATACCCACCCTTATATCATAGCACAATCGGCACAGGATCAGCTGGTATTCTTTTTGTTTACCCATGATCTAAAATTTCTAGCACCAAAAAACATGGAAACGAGGCTACACACCAACTTAATATTATATGTTTGTTTACACAAGTTACGAAAACGTTTACTGCTGCCGTGTTCAAGGTCATATAGTTATTTAATTTTTCTAATTCACACAATCTCAATTCCTTGTTTATATTAGGGTAAATTGTGATTTATATATTACTTGTATCGCTATGTAGTGCTGATAATATGAATATTATACATTTGTACAAAAATATAGTTTTTGTGGCCAACACTTGGCAAGCACAATTAACATCGTTATCGCAATCGTACTGATGGTAGTCAGTTCTCCCAACGAGCAGTTGTGATACTATAATCAGCTTGTATGTATTTTTTTACATTTAGTATACAGTTAGCTTTAAGTGCAGTGTATTTTAATATATTTTATAACATTAGTAGAAATTGTACTAACCGGATTATTTAGTTTCAATAACAAAATTAATTTATTAAGTGAAATAACCAGTATACAACTATATCTAATATCTATATGTATCCCGCATCGGGAGGTACAGATTGTGTCCACCAGAACAAGTTAGGTGTAATTTGCTTCCCCAAAATAAAAATCACCTTTATTTGGACCATCTTCAAGAGAGAGTAGCGAGGTAGGTAGTCGCACCATTTCTTTGTAGCTTTTTAAAAATGTACTCAGTTAAATTAATTAAAAAATCTTCTTCATCAAAGTATAACATTTTACTCTGAAATATGGTTCTACGAGTGTAAATGAGTTATAAAAGTATGTTTGTTAAGGAGGTATCTATGTGATTTAGTCGTGATAAGTAAATTCCACTATACAAATAAGGCGACGGACTAAAATATAATATTATACAGGGATTAGCCCGTATTTCTGTATTGCGATTTGGTGGCATTAGAGTCTCTCTCTAAAAGCTTGATGTATGAAACTGCTTGTTAGATAGTAGCCCAACGAGTCCACCTCTATTAGGTTATTAATTATCATGTAATTGGTATACCGTATATATAACTACACACAAATCTAAACACTGATTTGATTTTTAACATATTTTAATTTTATACGGGGACTTATGAGTAATGTTGATTGGTGATTTTATTTTATTATTTTAAAGGATGTATGTGTTATACTACAAATTACAATAGTATAATTTAAAAGCTGCCATAACCTACACTCTTTACAAAATAAGAACACACCATACTCGTGCATACTGGAGGGTATAAACAGAAACTCGTGTCAACGGCCATATTATAGTCTGTGGAGCCAATGGTCAATAAACCAATAAGCTATATGCCACCGGCATCCGTTTTGTCTTTTTCCTGCAGTTGAACGGTTATGCCCGTTCACCGCCCGTGCGTGAAGAGTGTTTTGTAAAAAACTGAGTCGATTTTGGCTCTTGATTGTGGCATTGATCAGCCCGCCTATATTCACGTTCGACTTGTGTTCGACCCAGTGGAGGTTGAAGTTTTTACTGCGGTGATCACTCACCGCCTTAATACCACGAGGTCTGCCGCCGATTGTTCTTATATACCCATTGCAGGTATCCGCACGTCGCGCCGGTACTGTGCGTTCCCCTGATCACTTGCAAAGCCTTGGGAACATCAGCCTGGATTTGCTGCTGTGATTCTGTGAAGTGTTTTGTCCGCCGTCGGCGTTCCAGCGATGTGCCGCCATCGGTAATTATTGATCTTGGACTCCTGAATTCTGTCGGCAAACCAGGTCATATTTTTTTCCACGTGGTCAGTAGGTCAACCACTAATTGTATAATTAATGTTGAGTTATTTATTGTCATCTTTTTTTGGATCTCATATTATAATATATATAAAACCAAATTAAATAAACCCATTTTTATTTACAAAATTAATTATCATTCATGAGAAAAATTGTATGAAAAAAAACTTACCTTAGAAAACTAGTTTGTTAGTAGTGTTGAGCCCAGATAACTACATTTTTATATTTTTATCTTTATAAACGTAAACTACAAATATTTTATCCGGATAAAAAGATAGATACCTATAAGCTGATTTTATTTTTATCTAGATAACGATAGTACAATTGTATTAAAACCGAAAAGTTTAGTGTCGAATACATTTATCTAATTCAGCATTTCTTAAGCTGTGTTCCGTGGAGATCACTTCAGCTATTGTTCCTCAAAACTTCAGATATTTTTCAAAATATTAAATTTTAACATATTATTGTAATTTTTCTTGCTAGTAATCCTTGGACAATTGACGCATTGAAATTATTAAAACAAAAAAGTGGTTCTAATGTCGAGCTGTAATAACTTTTTGTTGAAAGTTAAATAAAAAAATCTAAAAACCAAGAAAAAACAATTGTTGTTTTCCAATTAAATTTGACACAAAAAAGGGTTACACAGATAAAAATGTTTAAGAAAGGCTAATCTAATTAAATAGATAAGTTATTTGTTTATCTTGGATAATTTTTTAAGAACGATTTATTTGTATTTATCAAGATAAGAAAAATATAATAAAGTAATTTATTTAGATAATCCCAACACTGTTGTAACTATAGTTGGGTAATTAACAACAATTTTTAACACACAAACAACAACTTAATTCAATAATAATTATTGATAATGTAAAATATCAAACTGTACACCTACTTATCTCATTTATGGAATCTTAAATGTATAAGAATTATTTGAAATTCAATCTATCAGTATCTTTTAATAACTGCTGATACGTTTTAAATTCTGAGAGGAGTAATGTATGTAATGATTTTACAATGATGTGTGTTCTTTATTTTATTTTTATTTGTGTCTGTGTCACGATTAGTAGTTGAAAATGCTTCAATTTTCAGCCTCAATATCTTGTTTGATGAGAAAGTGAATCTATTTGGTGAATTGGGAAGGTCAAAATTTAAAATTGCCAGAAGTTTTCAAAAGATCAAAAGAGCCCTGAAAATCAGTAAAATAAATAAATAAAAAACAGGAATTTTAACTTAAAACTGGTTTTTGACAAATTCGATTTTGATTTTTGGTGAGATTCTTAAACAATTGTCCGTATACATAACATTTTTACTGGATGTTTATATAAGTATTTTTTTTTTTATCTTTTTAATTAAAATGTTGAGCATGTTTCATTGGTTTTCATTCCAATTTTACTAGTTAGGTCCGCAAGACCCATGTTTAATCTACTTAGGTCAAGGTGTTTTTCGGGTAGTACACTAGTTGGGTCCCATAATTATTTTAAAATTTATTACTGTAGTTGGCTCCATGCAAAATAAACATTTACCTAAACAGTTAACATTTTTACAGATTTAGGGCTGTCAGTGATATATAAATTAGGTACCATAGGTATGGTTAAAAATATTTCTTTTTGAATAACTACAGATACATCATTCGTATTTGGGATTAATATATAAAAAAATACTGTTTGGCTTTCTTTTACTAAAGAGGTCTTGAATTTATCCATTCATTGCAGCTGTTGTCGCCAACATTGGCATTTGAATCATAGTCGTTTGGTGGGGTTATCGTTCTATCAGTTTTGTGTTGAGGTATCGGTTCGTATCGTGCGACACCGCGCTGCAGTTGACAACAGCTGTTGTGTGATAACTGTCCGGTACGTGCGTGCGGCCGTTATCTCATTTTTTGTTTAAAATGTTTTTCGTTGTTTCGTGTCGTGTGTGTGCGGTCGAAATAAGTTCGTTTATGTTTCATGTATTTTCTGAAGTCATTCACCTCAGTGTGGACAGTTCCATAAGTTCGAGTGTTTTAATTTGTGTAGGTGGCACTGAGCTATCGTTTCGTACTTCATGTTGTCTTCGGGACCGGTTCGTTAAAACCGTGTGACGGACCGGCTTATTCTGTTCTTTTTTCGCCTCTCGAGCTGCATGGTCGTCATTCGTGTTACCACATCACTGCAAAGTTCTTTTTTTTAAATACATATATTCCGTCATTGTTTCTCTGTTGTTCGTCATTATATTATATCCAAAGGTTACGTAAGTATCACGATTATTATAATATAAAAATTCTAATTATTATTCCCCAATTCAGGGCGGTCAAGGCATGCTTATGGAACCATGTGGTTGTGAATTGTGATATTATTTGTGGTGCATTTGTGGTTGAGTTAATCGTTGAACTGGTGGCTCGTTGGCCGCACGTTCTCGGGATTGTCACACACTTCATTTTATATTGTATTAATTTTTATTGTACGAGTGTGAGCATCCCGGGACGGTAGCGTTCCGGTTTGAAGCCGCCAATGAACACCAGTTCCCAGGTAATAGGCTGACGAGCCTCATTATTATCATTATCTTTTATTATTTTTTATACATCATTATTGAGGCCAACTTATTATGTTACATGGTTGTATTGAGCTAGTTTAGGCCAATTATCTTATAATTTTTTGTATAGCCAGCTTAGGCAAAAAATTCATATAAACACTTGTTGTGTCAAGCCAAACAGGCTCAAGTTTACCTTTTTAATATATTGTTGAACCAGCAAGGCTACTTCTAATTTTTATATACCCTATTGTTTCTTCCTTGTTGAACTGGCATAGGCCATCAACATTGATTTATCATTGTAATTATTATTATATATAATTTTGTTCCTTATTAGGAATATAATTACCAGTATCAAAAGTTGTTTCTTGATTATTATTATTACTTGTATTATACATTCTCAACAGTGCAACTCATTATATTACTACAATGTAAAGGCACATCTGTTCCTTTAAGGCGCAGAGGCTAGGTACGCACGAACAGCAGTTTTGGACCATATCCGTGATTTATTTATCTATAAAAGGCCACCAGGAATATGAAAGCGCTATGCTTTTTATACTCAACATGTTAATATGACAAGAACTCAGTTCAGTTATAATTAATTTACTAAAGTTAGTTGGCTTGTCTCATGGTTTTTAATAACTGTATAGACTATAGCTCCAAAATAAAAAATCTTAATCAACTGTATTTTCAACTTTGAGTGCATTGTACGGGTTTAATTCTGAATTTAACGAAAAATCATCACATGTATTTTCCTGTTTTTGTAGTGTATCTAATACTTTGGAGTAAATTGAATTTCTTTCAATAAAATTTCGATTTTAATTTTGAGCGAGTGTAGTGTAATAGTGACTGTTTGTGAATAAAATGAATGTGAGTGTCATTATATTGATTTATGTTTAACTATTACATTGTTTTATTTAAAGTGTGATAAAAAAAAACAGCAATAACTCCTTCACATTTAATACTTCAAATTTCGAAATCAAATACAAAAAAACATATGTATTTGGTATGCTCAACGTTGTAAGCAATTTTCAGAGTAAATTAGTATTACTATTTTTTATTCCAAATAATATGTACGTTAACGTCTTATGATCAGTACTATTGTAAATTTAGTTGCAACATAAATAATCTTACAATTTAGTTCGTCGATGATACAGTGGTATGAGCAGAGGATGAAGAAGACTTACAAAACATTCTAACGATCATGAATAGCATATTCGGGGAGGAATATGACATGAAAATAAAAAAGTCAAAAACTAAAATCCTCATCTGTAGTCGAAATGAAGCAGCTAAGCCGGATATAAAATTAGATGGTTACTCACTTGAAGTAGTTGATGAATATAAGTACCTATTTGGGAAGAATAACAACAAATGATGGAGGATTCGCCAAAGAAATAAGATGCAGATTACAATAGACACAATGTGCATTCCAAAAAAAGATAAAAATTATGGAAAAACCTACTTATGACCGACGTCTAAAGCGTAGCACTTTTTAGGAATGAGACCTGGACAGCAAAAAACCATGAGGAATAGAACATGCTTACATTTTAAGTGAGATGTCGTAGAAGAATTCTTAAAGTAAGTTGGGTAGATCATAAAACAAACTATGAAGTTTTTTGGAGAGTAGGAGAAGAAAGAAGCTACCTAAAAGGTCTGAAGATTAGAAGAGCTTAACTCATTAGACATTCACTATGACAAAACAATCTTCTAGGTAAAATAATAGAAGGATATGGATTTATAGAAGGGAAGAATAGCCGAGGAAGACCACCACTATTAGTCTAGGATCTAGGACAGTGGTTCTCAACCGGTGTGCCACAAGGCACCTGGCGATAACTATTACCTCCGGCTGGAAGTTGCTGTGGTTGTCAAGTGTGTGAGTGGGCCATGGAATCTTGGTGATGTATAATAGTATGCGGCGAACTAAAAAAGGTTGAGAACCACTGATCTAGGGTGTGCAACATACTATAAATTAAAGTGGAGAGTAGAGAAGCATGAAGATTGGAGGAATGCTGAAAACCAGCCTCTGGTGGTTTTAAAAGTTTTCTAAACTTTTAAGTTTTTTTTTTTTATTAAAATAGAAAAATTTACAATCTGTAACATAGGAACAATAAGCAAATTGGATAATAGAATAATATTAACATCACATGAATAGTATGAGGAGGGAGGCTGTCCAGTGACAGTATCCTCAGGAGGAATTTAGGTTAGGGATTTAATAAATCCCTGCACCAGCGTCTTTTTAACCGGTGAGGAGGATTTTCAGGCAAGTTTACTCTACCTTGAATGGCAATAAGTGGGTTGGCATGAGATGCTAGTTTTGAGTGGAATTAATTATAGTGATTGGATGCAACTTTGCTTATGGTTTCAATGTTAAGATCATTTAGGAGTGAGTTGTTGGAGACATACCAAGGTGCAGAGGTTAATAAAGGGAGGGTAATTGACTGAAAGGCCTCAATTGTTTTTATTTGGGATGCTTTGGCACAACCACATATCTGTATTCCATAGGCCCAAATGGGTCTTAACATTGACTTAAAAATAATTAGTTTCTTATTGAGGGAAAGATTTGATTTAGAATAGGACGGAAGAGGTGTAGTCTGCTGTTGAGTTTCTTTCTTGTTGATTTTAAATGTGGGCCCCAGAAGAGACGTTTGTCAAATATCCGCCCCAAATACTTTATTTGGGTTTCAATTGGAATTTCTATGCCCCCAAAATAAAGGGCAGGTGAGATTTCTTTTCTTAAAGTGAAAGGAACACGGAAGGACTTTTCAGCATTAATTTTGATTTCCCAATTTGATGCCCATTTATCTATTTTGATAAGATGTGATTGGAGATTGGAGGGTGCTACAGTGTTGTCGTTATGTTCACTTAATATTGCTATATCGTCAGCGTATGTGGCGATTAGAATATTATCAGCATTTGGTATGTCTGCGGTGAATATGTTGTAAAGGTCAGGAGACAGATCACTCCCTTAAAAAACTCCTGCATGAATTATAAAATAGGGAGAAAATGCGTTACCTTGTCTGACGGCAAACGTGCGATTTGAGAGGTATGATTTTATTATTAAGTAAAGTGGTGCTGGTAGAATTTTTTTTATTTTAAAAAGTAGGCCTTGATGCCATACTCCATCGAACGCTTGGGAAACGTCGAGGAAAACGCCAGGATATTTTTTTTCTCAAACGAGGTAGATATCTTGTCTATAATCCTATGGATTTGTTGGATGGTAGAATGCTTGGATCTAAATCCGAATTGATTATCGGGAATTATGTTTTGAGTTAGGGTGATTGATCTGATTCTTTGGAGCAAAATTTTTTCGAATAGTTTGCCCAATACCGGTAATAAACTAATAGGTCGATATGAAGAAGCCTCATTTTTTGGTTTGTTCGGCTTATGAATGAGGATTATTGTTGAGAACTTCCAAATTAGCGGGAAATAAGATAATCTTATTATTGAGTTGTATAAGTAGGTAAGGAGCATTATGGATTTTTTTGGGAGAAATTTTAGTATTTTATTAGTGATTAAGTCGTAACTGAGTGACTTTATCTTTCAGTTTGAGCATGAAGTATTTTATTTCGCTATTTAATGTGTGTTTCATGGGAAGTGACATTGGTAGTGGGCTGTCTAAAAAATTTAGAACTTCGTTAAGATTGCTTTGTTCAGGAGATATATTCCATATTCGAATGTGGTGTAAAAATATTTAAAAGGTGGGTACCAACTTGTAAGTTATAATATTTAATATTAACTTATTTATTAATTAGTTATTACTGACTTCCTGTTTTTTTTTCTAGTTACATAGACTGGTCAAAACTTTTGTCTCCTCCTCCTATTAAAAACTGAAACATAGCCATTTTTAACTTCATAAATTTTCCCAATACCAAAAAAAGTCGCTTTTAAAATTTTGATTTGTATTTTATATGAATCTCTTCCATCATAATGACTCCACTGTTCTAGGGTCTTGGTAATATCAATTTATAACTTAACAAATGTTGTGTCGTATAAATTATTTACGAACACACGTTTAATAGTTTATCATGCTTTTTATTTGTAATATCCAAAAGTAAGTTCAATTTATGTTTATTCTCAATGGTAACAGAATATATGAACATCTTATTGATCTTCATACCGACCTGAGAAATATATGGAAGCAGTTTTTATACTATTTTATTGTTGTGAATAATAAATTATCATATAATTTTTTTATCAAATATTTAACTTCAATAACAGTAATCAAAAACTTGATTTATTAGAAATGAATTAATCCACACTTAAAATGACAAGTGTTTTTCTGCTTTTGAACCAACATGACTTAACTTAAAATGCACCATAGTTTTGTATTTATTTTTAAAAAATACATGTCGAAACCACTCAATATTCATTTGTAAATCAATAAATTAAAAACTATACCTTCTTAAAAATTAAATTACTGTTCTGAAAATTGTAGTAAAAAATTAACATCAATGTAATATGTATAGTAGCGTAATACATAGGAAAAATTATGAGCCATGATAGATTAGTAAATAAAGTATAAATTCTACTAGTTAATATTATTGAAAATACATATTACGCTGAGAAGTTTAAGTGTATTTATTATACACTTCCTTCTATAAGACAAGGTCATGGGAGTTAATACATTAGAATTTACATATTATTAAATAAAATATAAGAATATTATAATATACTATGTTAGATATTTTACAATAAAGTATATTTTTAACATGTTTATCTAAAATTAAATTCAAAGTATCAAAAAAATCCAACTTTATGAGACAAACGATGTTCTCATCTATAAATATATTATTTAACCATAGGTTAATAAATTCAAATGCTAACCAAAATAAGTCCATAATTATGATTTCTCACAAATATTTTTATTGTATTTTACATAGTTTGATAGACAATAATAACATAATATAGTACTTAAGGTATTTATTTTTATAAATTACTCACAAAATTCAATTCAGTAAAGACTTTAATACATAGGTAGAAAGTGTTATACATTATCAACATACATTACATGGATATAAGAATACTTAATTACACATATTTACACATTTTTGTAGTTTCAATACTCAACTTGATGATAAGATAAACCAAATTGGATGTATTTTGAAACTGGCAAATAATTTTAATTGAGTTTACAAGAAATAGCCTTTAATTATTTTTCTCTAACTCACCAGGGGTTTAAGAATTGTTTGTTCCTATTTAAATGTTGTGGAAAAGGAACTTTGACTAATTACAAATAATACAATTTATAAGAATGTTATTTAAAAATGTATAACATAAAAAAAAATACAGTAAAATACAAAAAAAAATATACATTTATACACAAATTTATATATAAAAAATTAAGTTTTATCTAAAAACAAAATACAGTGGGATCTATCAGGGTCATAGGGTTAGTGATGGCGGTGGCGATGGTAGTGATAGAATTGAGTTGTTATTGGTGGTGTCATCATCGTCATCACCATCGTCGTCTGTAGCGCTTACCGCCACCGCCGCCGTATGTCATTCGTCATCGGCCATTCCTGACTCTGAAGACTCGAAGAATAAGTTTTTCCGCTTGCCAGGCTTAAAGTGGAGCATCTCATGCTTTCGTGTATCGCACATCTGCACGAACCCGCGCCCGCATACACTGCACTTGAAAGGTTTTTCACCAGTGTGAGTTCGGATGTGCAATGTTAAATCGTACCGCTTCCGGCACTTTTTATCGCAGTGCGGACACTGGTAATTTCGGGTGTCTGTGTGCACGATCATGTGAGCATCGTGTGACCCTTTGGTTTTAAACGTCTTGTTACAAAGCACACAAGAGTACGGCCTTTGGTTGTAGTGGACCGCGTTAATATGCACGTCCAGCTGCGACTTTTGTGCGAACCGTTTGTGGCATATGTCACATACGAACCGCTTGTCGTGCTTGGTCTGGTGTACGCCTAGTTGTTGCTTGGTGTAACACGTGAAGTCGCAGTGGGTGCAGCGCACAGTTTTTTTAGCGGTGTGCGTCAGCAGGTGATTCATAGCAGACGCCTTATTCTTGTACATATTGCCACACACGTCACACGCGAAACGCACTTGCTTCGAGTCGATTGTGTTCGTGGTATGCAATTTGGAGTGTTTCTCCTCAAGATGGTCTTTAAACTCGTCAATGGACGGGAAGCTGATACGACATAGGTCGCACTCGTACATTTTGTACTCGGGGTGTCGCTTTTGGAAGTGCCGCAACAGGTTGTACCTAGTCTTGAACACGGTCGCACATATCTGGCACATGGTTTCCTGCTGCTGTTCATCCTCATCTGCGGTAGCTCCGTCCAACGAACTGCTTACGTACAACTGCCTCACCTGCATGTTGTTTAGCTGGTCACAGTCATCGTCCTCTTCATCTTCTTCGTCTTCGCGATCGTTCTCATCGCCTACTTCACCATCGTTTCCGTTGCGTCTGTCGCCACCTTTTGACTGTTCATCTATTTCCCCACCACTAGTTTCATTGACGTTAATCCCATCTATAATTGGTTTGAAGTCTTCACTATCATTATGATTAGTGATATCGTCTCCTCCACAAACCGAGTTTATGTTCCCTGCGGTGGGAAGTTGATTATCAACTGCGTCTTCGTGGTTGCTGTCTTCTATGACGTCCAGATACTCTTGTTTCGGCACCACGAGGCTGCAATCGTCTGCCACCGAAATGTCATCCAGCCGATGGCAATTCATAAGTCCATTTATGTCGTCGTCGATGCCAGCCGCATTCAGGTACATGTTGTCATCTGCGGAGTCGTTATCCACTTCTCTGTGAAATATGTCAGAGATTTCGCTGTAAAAACAAACACGGCAGTTTTAATATAACTTAGTTAAAGCAAATAAATAAATGGCATACACTATTTAACGACTATATCAAATTATAATAGTTAGGTTCAGTTAACTTTGATTTTCGATTATTCTTTCAATTTAAGAAATACCTATAATTTTTGGTCACTTAAGAGTACGCCGTACAAGCATGTGTTGTCACCGCTTACACTTACAAACGCTTAATATGACTAAATGTACGTCCAGCAGTTGCAATTTTGTGTTGTTGGCCTAAATATTAGAGTAAATTGAACTACTATCAAACCTAAATGCAAGAACATTATTTGCGTTTTCTCGTTGGTTTTTACGATATTTTAATTTTTAAGTGAATTATGAGCATTTTTAAATATACTCATAAGTCGTAACTCACTTAAAAATTAAAATATCGTGAAAAACCAAACAGAGAATATAGGTAATGTTCTTATATTTAAGTTTGATGATAAGTGAATTCACTCTAATATTTAAGCTAACAATACACAATTGGAACTGATGGACTTACATTTTGCAATATTTAGAGTTAGGAAGTGTGAGAATACATTATACGGGTACGATGTCCTCTTAAAATGTTTACAAAAACCATATGATTATATATAATAATATTTATTACTTATTTAAACATTAATCATAAAGTTGATCAATCAACTATCACACAATTATAGTGTTTATTACAATAATTACTATAAATATTCAAATTAACAACTGTCCAATTGCTTAATTCTTCTGCTTGTAATTTGTTGGCATGGGGTTACTACTTAATATTATAACTAATAGGTATAACTGAAAAATTATTATTTTTCAAGAAGAAATAATCGTAGTTTTCAAACATGACATACAAGAATTCTAGCAATTCCTCCAAACTATTTTTTTATACAACCCTTATTTAAACAAATCAATTTAAGGCCGGTTTAGTTTTTAAAAAATATGTTATAGGTAAGCTTTGTACCATAAATATTAAATGGTACGTATAATTAAATTTGTTTATCTTTGCGAAAAAATTTAAATAGTTGGTTAATTGTTAAGATATTTATGAACTGTATACAGAGTTATATGCACTGTACCTAAACTGTAGACCCAAATCTTTATCTAAGTAAGAAATCAGCACATCAAAACAAAAGAGTTCAAATTGCTATTTATCAGAAACCTCATAAATAGTGACTGATCTTATCTCATTTATACAAATCACTTTCGAATCTACCTCATTTAAAAATATTGAAATATTTATTGTTATTTACTAAGATATTTAATTAAAATAAATTTTTGTTTTATTATAACTTAATGGATACCCAATACTTGGACATCAGATAATAACAGTCTTAAAAGTAATTTTATAATTTTTCATTAAAAAGTTATGATAATTAATTATTCTGGCCTATAACAGCTTTGAAGAAAATTAATTTAAATTTGTTATAGTTAAGACAATGACAGACTTTCAGGTTTCGATTGTGTATTGCATATAATACATTTTTTTTGTTCTTATGGTTAGATTTAATGCTATCCTTTTTTTTATAAACAAAATAGATAAAAATATAAATTTTCAATCCGAAGAATATACAAAAAAATTAATTAGATTATTTTCAAAGCTTACTATATAACCACTTATGAACAACCCACACAACCTAACAAGCAAAAATGATGATATCTAAAACAATAATGTAAGGTTAATAATGAAAAATATGCAGTTCATAATAAATAATATATTATATAATATTGTACCATGTTAAATATTTAGTTTAAATAATATATAAATCAATTGATTAATTTTAGTACCTATACATATACTTATTATACAGCGATTTAATACCAAATTACACACATGAAATGTTAATACTTTATCAATACATTTTTACAAAACAAAAATAATACATATAAAAAATATTCTATAACTATTATCGAATACAACTTTATTAAAATATAATTTACAAGAAAAGTAGTGTTACTATATTATTTTGGATAAATATAAAAAATATATTTCAAAATTAGTACTTAGAAAAATATGATAACATTTAAAATGTATATATTTATGCATACATTTAAATATTTAGTACATAAAGTAGTAATAAGGTAAGTTTCATATAAATATATTAAACATAACATTAAATAAGATTGATACTACAATAGCATATTATAGCCGGTATTTCTTAAGAGAAAAAGAACAGAGACAGTCAGGATATAAAGAATATTGATGTGGGGTAGTAGTTATGCTATTACTATAAACTCGAATGCAAAAAAATCATTGAAGTTGAAAAAAAAATTCGAATTGGAACTTTGTTAGGTAACTTTTTGTTCTTAGAATTATTTAATATGCTAGTTTTCTAAAAAAATAACTAAATAATATGTATTAAAGATTTAAAAAATGTATCATTTAACAAATAAATAATTAAGTAGGTTTGTTTTTAAATGTCAAGTCTTAACCTACAGCTACAATTTTCAATAAAATATATATTAAACAAAATCAGTCATAACCCCCCCCCCCTTTAAAAAAAATTACCCTATTATAAAAGTAGAACTTTTCTCAATAAATAGTATTTAAAATTTAGAAATTTAGGAACTACTGGGAAAATGAAAAACGATTTATTGGAAATAGCAATTATACTTTGTTTTATGTAAGAGTAACCTCAGGCAGTGACCAATTTTTGTACGGTTCACATAGACTACACCTCTAGATAAATCGATTTGTGCCTGTTATTTTGACAGTCAACCACAGACAAAATATGTTTTACTGCATTAAGCAAAATGTAAGCTAGGCATTTGTAGAAATAATAAAGTGATGACACTTCTAAAAGCACATTATTTAGTGCAAGTTATCAATACTTATTGCTGTCACCATATACAGAAGCCTTCCCCTACCTGGGATTACTTTTGTATGAGACTATAGATATAATTTATAATTTAGAGGTAGACATGGAACGGTTGGAACAGACAATTTTCTTATTACTAGAAAAAAATATCATCAGATAAAAAAAAATAACAAAAAATTATAATAACAATAAAACCAATAAATTCCTCTTTGCGCTATGATAGTTAAATAATAAGTTATTAAAACAACTTTAAATAAGAAAATAAAATAGTAGAGTTACCAGACAGTTGTATGGCACACATACCCTGTAATATTATAATATAATGGAGTAAAAAATTGTACACTTAGTTACATTAAATCTAATAGTTATAATAAATGTTTTTAATCATTCATTTTTAAACATCTATACTGACATAGATTAAATAACACTATAAATAAGTAAAGACAGTGAAATCATTTATCGCTCATTATTATTATTATTTGATTTAATTAACTAGTGGTGCATTCTGGCAGGAGGTGGGAAATTAGTAAATAGAAAATACTTGACTCCCGTTACCATGTGTCAAATCAAAATTAAGATAACAAGTGATAAAGGATTCTGTTGCCCATCTACGATACTATCTATGATAATTGACAAAGATAAATTATGTTCATTGAAAAAAGTAAATTATCATTGAAAGTACGTATTCTACTTTTATAGGGCAAAAGTGATCAAATAGTCCATTGAAAATTATGGCAGCGTACCATATTAATTGAAAAATTTAGGATGACTTGTAATTTAAACATTTTATGATAGAACCTAGTTACTAAGTAATTAGATTTATCAAAGGAAAAGGGTAAAAAAAATAAAAAAAATCGACATTTCATACAGATTCATGGGTTATGAAGTTTAATTGTTATTCCTAAACTGATTCTAAATAAAATGCACCACTACACGTTATACAAGTAAAATTAAAATACATTTTAATTTATATACACAGTAAAACCTCCATATAACAGACACTTTAAAAGATGGATATCTCCTTACAACAGAAAATAACCAGTCACATACATATTTATTTTTTGTATATTTTAGTATTTCCTATGGTTAACTCAAAGTTACTAGCGGGTCACTTTTAAGTACTTTAAAATCTAGCGGGCTGCAGTGCATAAGAGAAAGTAAAAAAAAAGGTAATTCAAATTTACTAACATTTATTTTTTATCTTTATTTATTTATATTTACAATTATTAATTAATGTGATACTTGAGGATGTGGTTTTTCAATAGACAATTTAGTAAAATCCACTTCTATTTCAAATGATTTGTCATGTAATGTCTTTTCAAATAATATTCTTTTAGTACTGGAATAATATTGAAAAAAACTAAACATTGAAGTTTTTTTTTTGTTAATAATATATAAATAATCATTCTCCCATAAGCTGTGAACAATTCTATTTTCATCTTCGATTTTACGCTTTTTAGCGGACATTTTTAAAATAATTATTACAAAACACGAAAATAATAGAACTAACGGCGAGGCGGTGTGACACTACGGCAGTACAGTACGTCAGCGTGACGCTACGGAATAAGGATATGACTAAACCGATAAAATGAAATAAAGAGTATGTTAGCTACGCCATTATAAATTTATATTTAGACATTTAATAATTTAGTTTCAGTTTAAAACTGGATAAGAATTTATATCCACATTTTATCGAAAAATGTAATAAAATAAAATACAGACAATCCCTAAAATTATATGAAGTAATTTGAAAATGTAGTGCGGGCCAGATAAAAAAGGTACGCGGGCCGCATGCGGCCCGCGGGGCGCCAGTTGCCCATCCATGCTATAACAGAAACTCTTTAATAACGAAAAAATCAGTTGGTACTGCGCTAATCTGTTATAAGTAGGTTTTACTATAAATAATATTCTAAGTTTTACTTTAATTTAGGAGTTTGAAGAGACAAAATATTACTTACACAAATACAAGAATTTTTTTTAATACTAATATTCAAAAGAAAATTTAAAAAATCAATAATACATATTAAGGGTAGATTATGTTCTAAAATAAACGAGCAATTTGTGATCTCAAATTGTAGTGTTGTAAAGAATATATTGCTACAGCATTATAAATCCTAAATTGATTTTAAAAATTATGCAATATTCTTTAAGGGTTTCTTTGTAATAATCTCTATTTATTGTTTTTCAAAATTTAATTTTTTTAAAAATACATTCAAGTCTATATGTTTATAATGTCGACTTTATGCAATAAACTTGTGTATAATTATTAATAATTAAGACTTAAAATAATATCAACCTATTTAGCAAAAGGACATAATTTCAAACTAAAAAATTTTACACTAGAAAAAAAAACATTTTAAGTGTTTTTTAAAATGTATTTATTATTCATGTTAAATAGTTGTGTAATCATTTAGTAGCAAATAGTGATTCCAAAAGTTTTGTGTTATCAATGAAATTTATAATAAAATTCTTAAAATTGTCAAATACAATTATTTTCAATGATTGTGGAGAATAAATTTTCGGAGTCAAGTGAAAAAGCCATTTTATCAATAGTATATCAAAGAATTTATAGAAAGAATAATCATTGAAATATATTAACTATAATATCAAGTGATGGGTATTTAGTTTACTATGAAATGACAAAAAAAATTATATTTCGAGTAAACATTTTCACTGCTAAGTTTTTTTTCTCGAGAAACTTATCCCTGCTCAGTTTATTTCAGTTTTTTTTTCATATTCCTAAATGATAAATTTAGTAGCACACCATAAATTTAAGTTAAAAAAAATACATTCATTGATTGAATTTTACGTTTGAAGTTTACAAAGACCAGGATAACAAAATACAGATCTTAACAATGCACCACTTACTGACCATCACTTGATAATGACTAGAAATAATAATAATTCAAAATGCATATCATTTTTACAAAAATTAGCAAAAAATATTTTTTTAACCTTAAATTTGTTATTTATTCGTCTGTTATTAATATCGATAATGGAAAAAGGAACGCTACAGTGAAATAATAAGTACTTTGCTAAATAGGCTGATGAAATCATGAAGATATTAATTTTTGATTTAGTAATGATCTTACTTTAATTTTAAATAACTTTATGGTCCAAATGAGACGACTATAGATTTGAAAATATTATATCAGCGGTTCCCAAAGTGTGCGCCGAGGCGTTTTTACTGTGGCGCCGCGATCGCTAATCGTTGTGGTCCAAAAATAAATTAAATACCATAAAATAACGATTATTTTTAGATAAACGGGTTTTTCATACACCGTTCACACATCACAAAGCGTACGATAACGCGAGCCGATTGCCATGAAGCAGTTATGAAAAATACTAAATTACTACGACCACACGTGGACACGTCTGGAGTAATTTGTTTTTGTAGCTCAAAGGCTGATACACGAAGTTGCGCTGATACTTCACGTTTTGTTAGTTTAGTATTCCTTCACTTTTTAACAATGAATCAATTATTATTGAATAATAATAAACGTTATGAAGATGAAGAAAGTATGCCCACGAACAGCCACGGTTCAGTGGTGAAAAAGAGAAAATATCAGAAGCATGATGAAAGTTATTTGGAGTTTGGTTTTAAGTCAACAGAAATTAATGGCGAGGAGAAACCATTGTGTTTACTGTGTATGAAAGTTTTGGCACCAGAATACATGTTGCTGAGTAAATCGAAGCGCCATTTAGAAGCAAACCACAAGCACGCAGTAGAACAATTTCGTGACTTTTTTCTAGAAAGTTAAAAGAGCCTAAACTGGAAAACAGTACGTTTCAAAAATGCATCAATAACAAAAAATGCTTTGTTTGCACCTTACAAAGTGGCTTATAGAATCTCTAAATGTAAGAAACCACTATTAATTGCAGAAGAACTTATTCTACCAACTGCAGAAGATATGGTTAATATTTTGGTAGGGGAATCTACTTGGAAATTACTTTCAAATGCGCCTTTGTCTAATAACAGTCAGTCACAGAATAAATTAAACGGTAGAAGACCTAAATGATCAATTGATAGGAGAAATCAAAAATAAAGTATTTGAGTTGCAATTGGATGATAATAAGGATGCTCATTTGATTTGTTGTGTGAGGTTCATAGGCGGTCATGAAATGGTAGAAGACCTACTCTTTTGTAAGAGTATTACAACAAGTGCCAAGTTTTAGAACTCGTTTGAAATAATGGATGATTTCATGTCTGAAAATAATTTGGATTGGACTAAGTGTGTCGGTGTCTGTACTGACAGCGCTTGTTTTGTGATAATAGTTTGAAAGCGAAATTTGGTAGAATGGATTTAATAAGATTTTAGATTTCAATCAAAGATGCATATTGCCTATGAAGTGATTAAGTACAACATTATCCTAATTCTTTTTCCAAAAGGAAAAAATGAAAATATTTATTTTCAAAAGGGCACTGTAAGACAAAAAAGTTTGGGAACCGTTGACATATATTACATATTATAATACTCATACAAATCAATAACATTAATAATTTATTGTGAACTCCTCTGATTATCTACAGTTGTTGAAATAAATTCTAATTGAGGCATATTAACAAATGAATGCTGAGTTTCATGAACTCGTCCATGCTGTTTTAAATGTTTTTTCAATTTAAATGTGTCACCACAAATAGTACATTGAAAAGGCCTTTCTGAACTGTGCACTGCTGTATGACCTTTAAGTGTACCACTGCGCAAGAATGCTTTACCACATACTGCACATACATAGTTGCGCACTCCTGTATGATGGGTTAAATGAGCAACTAAATGACATCTTCTGATAAAACTTTTGTCACAATATTCACATTTATGTGCTTTTATACTTTCATGCATTTGTTTCCAATGAATTTTCATTGATGATCTCTGGGCAAAACTTTTACCGCATGTTTCACAAACAAACGGCCGTTCACCAGTATGTGTGCGTCTATGATCATCAACGTTACGTTTCTCAGAAAATGAACGTCCACAAATGTCACACTGATAACTACGAACTTTATCGTGGAAACATACAATATGGCGTCTCAAAAATGCTGCTGTACGAAACTGTTTACTACACATTTCACAAGTGTATGGTTTTTCACCAGTATGCACCCTCATATGATACACAAACTTGTATCTCCTACCTTCAACATTATAATTACATTGATCGCATTTGTAATATAATTTATTATCTATCATAACTTTATACTTATCATAAATGTCACTTTTTGGGATTGGTTTTTTATTATTTAACATATGTGAACGGACGTGTTTTGAAGCCAAATGTTTAGAAGGAAATTGTTGATTACAGTAATAACACTTGAAATCTTCAATATCAGACTTTTCATCGGATTCAATAAGTTCATCTTTTATGTCTTCTAACTCTTTCTCTTTTTTCAAGTCCATTTCATTACCATTTTTTTGATCAATAGAATTTGATTGAACACTATTATTATTGAACTGTCCAGAATTTGAAGAATCATTTTTTATTTCTTCATCAAAATCAGATTCATCATCAAACAATTCATCATAACTTTTAGTTACTCCAACGCGTTTGCTTCTTCGTTTAGTTGTCTGCACATTGTGCAAGTTTTGATCATGCTCTAACTTTTCCAACAAGGATTTAAAAGAAACATTACACATAACGCATAATACATCATAATTATTTATTTTAAAGTCTTGTATTGATTTTGTATTGCTTACATCAACTATGCTGGAAAGATTTTTTTCTGTACTGTTATCCTCAACATTTGAAATTGAAATTTTCATATTACTATCTATGTACCTGTCACTTACATATTTTATTGGCAATATATTAGATTGAACACCGTGAACATCACGGTCGTGTTTTACTTTATCTCTAATCTTCAAAAACTTTTCAAAACAAAATGAACAGGAATAATTGTTTGAAAGTGAAGTTTCTTTAGTAGGAATTATTTTCAATGTTCCATCTGGTTCTGTCAAGTCAATGTACCTGGAAAACCAAATGGGCACAGAAATTATTTTGCCCTAGTTTGTTTTCATACATCCTTAGTTATATATAAAAGCAAAATATTTTTTTTCTTTTGGATTACGCAAATTTTGAACAACAAAATCCATTTGTATACCATCTTGAACACTGTTAAAATTGTATATGTTTACAGCAAAAATATTTCCAATATTGAGTTTATTTTTATGAGTCGACAGCATGACTATTTCCATCTTACTTCTGTTTTTATATCCTTTGAAGTACTTAAAAATATTTTTTAACAATGAAAGATTATAAATACTTATATTTCACAGTAAAAACTGAAAAAAAAAATGATAACTGACAAAAATAAAAAAATCTCTATTATTACAACTAAGTGATTCCCTAACATAAATGTGATTTTGGTTTCAAAATATCTACATTATAAATAACAAAAATAATCATTAAATAGATTCCATTAAATAATAGGGAAATATATAACATACATCAAGTTCAAATGACTTTCTTTTCAAATTAATATTAATTTTAAATAAATTATGATTACTTAAATTTAATATTTAACTAATATATTAAAGAAGGTTTAAAGTTTCCATGTTTAGAAAAATTCTATATAAAATTGATTAAAAATAAATTATTTTAATTTTTGATGATATATTATTTGATTTATTTTCTAAATTGTTCGATTAAACACTTTGGTGCGAATACAAAGATTTAGCTGATAGAATATAGTTAAATATCACATAACTAAACAAATTTTATTAAAATAATATTATTTGAACAACATTGTAAATGGAACTGCTTATATATGTGCAAACAAAAATATTGAATAAAAACAGTTATTCTTTAACAATTAGAGTAGTTGCATTATTATTTGCTCAATTAACATTAAGAATGTCAAGAAAATGTTGAAAAATATTTATTAATATGAACAAACTTTTAATTAAAATGAAATGATCTAAGATGCATGCAAAAAAAATTTCTACAAATACAAGACTAGATTTGTAGATGAGGGCTTTAAATTGTTCTTCATATATTTTAAACAGTGTTTTATACAATAGTTTTTGAAAAATTAAAAAATAATATTTTTAATTACAGGAGTTTAACGAAATTTGAATGTTTCAGCTATTATTTAAGTAAGCTGTTAAGCAAAGAATATAGGTAATTATTCATTATAATCAGTTAAACTAATTATATTAATTTAATCACAAAATAAAGGCATTGATAATCAAGAATGTTTGGACAATTTTAATTTGATCAAAATCTTATATCTACTCTAACTAAAATATAATAAAAACAATTTAAAAATGATATGTAACAAAGCAAAAATAGCTTTATTTAATAATTTGTAAACAAAATATTATTAGTATATATTTATCATTAATTTCAATTATTATTCTACCATTCACTAGTTCATTATATTACCCGAAAAAACCTTAGGTATAGTGCAATAAGTTTAAAATATGAATTTATGTATGAGATAATTGTACAATTCATTAGTGCATACACCACTAGAATATTTTTGTGAGACTAAATTGATACAAACAACAGAATAAGACAGAAATTTAAAACCACAGTTTATTGAGATTGCGATGGATGTCTAAATTATATAACATTTTTATATGTCCCTAAGATCTCACTAATTTTTATAAATATTTCTATATGTTAATTGTTTTACATTTTTAATATACTTCTGTGATTCCACAATAGAAAATAGTTACATTTATCAAAAATTATTTTTTTTAACCGATATTAAGTCATCAGAAGTTTAACTAAAAGTTACGTTGTTACTAAAAAATACAAAAAGTTTTATAAACAAGTTATAAGATCGTTTTAGTTTAGTATTAAATTTTATAATAATATAAAATGTTACTGTTCAATTTGGTAAACAAATGAAATTGTTTTGCTTTTTTATCATGACCAGTAGTTGAGCACTAAACTATGATTTCATTTTTGGACAATGGGTTTTGGTTTTTTTAATATTTGTCATGATTCTGTTCAATATTATAAACTATTCCTAAACTTTTGTAAGACCCATTTGTGACAATGTATTAAATTTATAACATTTAATAACATGGTTGGAAGTTGTGTTTATTTAATTGAATTAAAAAAAAAAAAATGTTTAAAATATTAGATATTTTTAAAGATATACATTTTGAAATTATAATAAGCAGAAAAACAAGTTAAGTTTTAAATTATAATTTTTAATTAAAATAAAGAAATATTTTTTTTAAAGAATTAGTATAAACATATTTAACAAAAAATATAATAATTCTCAAGAACAATTGAAATACATTAAGAATCTAACAATTATAATATTGATTAACATACTTAATTGAGTTAAGCAAAAAGTACAGTCAATGTTTTTTATTTAAACCTTAAGAGTATTGATTTATTGTTTAAAAAATTTTGAATATTAATATTTTAATTTGGTGACAAAATATACCATTTTATTCCTAAATTGATTTTATAATTGATCAATAATTGTGCTTCAACTACCTTACATTTTAAATATTAATCATAAGCATTAACAAAAAAAAATATTCCTTATTTAATAAAAAGCATCTATAAAATACAAATGTAAATTTAAATTATAGCCCGCTGATTATCTAACTAGTACAATTATAAAATAAATACCTTAAGGAAGTATATTTCATTAAATAGTTACTTTCATACTTGAGTTCTTAATAGCAACAGTGACATGTAAAGATAAGTATTATTATTATCTTTAAACATTGATGTTCATTAAGAGGACAGTACACCTGATTGTGTTGTCACTGTGTTACAAATACACAATGTTCTAAATTTGTGTTAAGGAGTTTCAATTGTGTGTAATAACTTTTATTCATAAAAAATAATTGACCTATCATCACACTTAAAGGTAAGAACATTATCTGGTTACTCGGGAGTTTTAAGGAAAAAATGTCAAGCAAGTTATGAGAATTTTATAACTATAATATTCATTGAAATACTCATAAATTGCTTGAAAATTGAAGTATCATAAAAATCTCCAGATTAGATTACCTTTAAGGTTGATAATAGATTAATTTACTATACTTTTAAAGATGACACAAAATTGGGATTGGTGAACACAAGTTTGTTATGTTGTACATTCATAAGACAGAAAACACATGCAGGTGTAACGTCCTCTCAACTATACATTTTAAATTATTTAATAAAGATTTAAAATATTAAGTCAAAAACGTGTGATCATATTGCATAAGCAATAATAATATATTATCTATTCATGTCATATAATACTTTCAGAATATTAAAAATATAATAAACCCGCGTGGTGTTTAGATATTTTATTTACAACTGTGTGTATTTAAAGAATAGTATTATTTATGATTCTATAATATATTGCACTAATACAGCAATCATAGATTTTAGAACTTATTTCAAAATTATGTTAGGATAGACAGTAAGTAATTCAAAAATCTATTAACAAATAAAACACATTTCATAATTTAAATATTATTATATTTGAAATCCTAAATTATATCAGATAATCAACGTTTCTATAAAATTAAAATTATGTATTTAATACAGAAATATTTTACCTTTTTAATGTTGGATGTAACCTATTGTCTTCTTGAATATCCTACAAAATACAAAAAAAAAAAAACTAATATTAGTAACTGGAAACAAAGTTTAACAAATAACAATAGATTAAACTATAGATATAATTACATCCGTAAACATTACAAACCGTATAACTGCATCTTAGTAGAAAAATAAAGACAATAAAGAAGTTTTCTATGAAGATTATAATTAAATAATATTATCATTTAATTAATTTAATTGTAAAACTGAGTGCTGGCTATATTGTTACCAATAGCAATTATTAGGACTTTTTAATTAGGAATCAATTTTTATATCTTGCTTAATCACTATGGTTGAAAAAATAAAAGGTAATTCATTGTAAAGATATGTTAAGTTGTTTTTTGGGGGTATGGCTGTTTATGGCCCCACAACAGTAGAAAAGTAATAGCACAATACTGAGAATATCTGTTGGTATGATTATTTGGGCTTCACCCATCACTTTTCACAGGGTAAAGTAGATAGTAATAGTAGTGTAAGAGGACTCAGGATTTCATGTATTTGGACATTTTTAAAACATTTAGAAATCTGCTTACATAATCAAAATTTGATAGTTTTGCTTGTTTTTACAATTTTTGAATATTTAAACTTAGTTTGAGTATTCTCGTGTAATTAAATATGTTTTCAATAAAAAAAAGTTACAAAGATATTTTCTGGAAATTTAAGATTTTTTTTATGTTTTTCATGTATGCATACATTTTATTGTTTCTAAACACATTAAGTGTCATACATAGTACCACATTTAAATGTTATACAGCCAGCTTTTGTTCAAATTAGCTAAATTGTATAAGTTAACTATGTTTTGTTTGAAAGATTTTGTGTACACAATTTGTTTTTTAAATTTACAAATTATGAAATTACTTATGCAATAAGTGGAAAATATATTTGATATTGTAAGAAATTCCTCATTTAAGTTATCAAGACATAATACAAATTAACTCATTGTTTTTTAAACAAATTATATACATTTAAATTAATTGACAAAACAATTAATTTAAAAATTTATTTAATTATTATTATAACATATGTCAGTTTGAAATAAATTCAATATAAATTAATTAGGTAAGCATATGAATAAATAAAAATTGTTTTTAATAATTTAAAAGTTGATAGTTACATTGGGTCTGGTACATGTAGGTATTTGATATAAAAACAATTAGTTATTTTTATTGTCAGAATGATATTTTAATTTAGAAAATTACAGTACCTTGCACTGATTTTGGTCAAATGAACGAAGTTCAAACATATTTCTAAGTTTTTGGTCTGCATCAGTACTACATTCATACAACTCATTCCAAACAAGCACAGCAGAAGCGCAATGATAACATACTCTTTTTGGTAATAAGTCATTTGCAGAAATCTGTATGAAAAAAACATTTTGTATGATAAATAATTAAAATTAAAATGTGTATACTACATTTATAAGTGGAAGATGGGTTTTTATTTTGTTTTCTAACATATGGTCTGCTCCTTCATCTGCATATATTGGTATCATGTTTTCATCAAAATTTGCACATAATCTGCATAAATCATTTATAGTACATGATTGCATATTTATTTCTTGATTATGAGCCATATTAACTTCGATTTTGATTTTTGACATGTACCTTAACTAAACAATAAAATATCAAAATTATAACAATTAGGTATTTTGAATGTACCTAAAGGGCCATTTCACAATTGCACTTACATTTTGTTACTTTTGTTTATTCATCAGCCTATAGTTTACATATGGCTGTGATATGAGTCCAATACACTTGAAATCTTTTAATTTGAAAATCAGATGGTAAGTAGGTACCCATTTATTTGTTAATACTAATAATTTAATTATGAAACTTAAATATCAAGTGTATTAGGGGTATTTTAAAAAATATATCTGTAAATAATTTATAAATAATTGTAGATACTCCACTCACCTAGGTACTATTGGTTATTATTTTCAACAAGTTTGTTTCTAAATAACAAACTTTACAAATTACTCAAGTAATAATAAAAAAGCGAAGATATTAATTATAATAATGCGTGCAATTGTAAAATGTATCTATGTTTAATTCACCTAACTGAAAATAAAAGTTAACATTTAGCAAAGTACTAAAATGGGACTTGAGGTACCTAGATATCTAGGTACAGTAGATAAACTAAAATTTTTAAGAAATTTATGGATCACATTATACACATTTACGTTAATTAAAAAAAACTCTTAACTTGCTTCAAAATTAAATTATCAAAAAAGATTACGTAGGGACCTCAATAATGAATAATATTCTTACATTTAAATTTGATTATAGGTCAAATCATTGTAACATTAAATTAACATGGTAAAATGAATTCTTGCAAATGTAAAATTGTCTATGTTAAACATTAGTAAGACAGAGACAATAAATGTGGGTATAACATCTTCTTAAAAGTACCTATTATTACAATCTAATTAGGCAAAATAGAAATAACAAATATGAATAGGAATATTGTGATATTGCAATTATTAAATTATGCTGTAATGGATACTATTTGTATGCACTTAATATGATTACCTACTGACTACTATAGATACATAGGTAGTTATTTTTAGGAATGTTATGCATAATGCATTACAGTAGATGCTATAAATGTACAGATAATGTACAGCGATTATTATCCTATTATCTTTCAAGTGAAAATCAAAAATGATCGGTAGGTATTAAAGTTATGCCTAATATATGAACATATATTTTTTGGACACATTGTTGCCCTTTACCTGGGTAAATTGGTATGGATTTCTATATTTATATAGAGGTCTATGGTTTTGGGTGAACACTACCCACCCATAGAAGCTGCTGATGACTAACTATACATACCGTACATACTCATGTCCTTCTCAGAACGAGCATTGAATAATCGCAAATCAAAATCAGATGTTACACACCCATACCTACACACCGACTGTCGGGGGCGTCAAACACCCAAATAATCCAAATCTGACACTGGGCAATATCTACAGACAGTCTGAGTTTGAAGTGTAGCCACCGTAGAGTACCCAGTTTCGGGCGTGGGTGGTAGCGACCGAGAAGGCCGACGTGGACGGTAATTCGTGAAGAGAACGAGCCCGGAAAAACGTAAATCTCCAATACGAGTCTCCATAACGCGTACTCACCCGGAATCCACGGTTCACAATAGCTGAGACGTCCGTCGTCGGCCACCCGTCAATGAGTCGATCGTGAAGGGCTGTAGCTCACGTCATGCCACCGTCGTCGGGCACCGTTCATCGTTCGCATCTTAATAGACATGGAATATGAGGAACAGCGCTAGGAGTTTGATATCGATTGATTAAGTGCAATTATGTAACGAGCAATCGTAATTGACACGATTGACTGTTTTCGTTACGACGGTGATGTTACAATGACAATGAGGGCCGGTTGGCTGAGAGGTTCAATAACGTAAAAAATTTAAATATGGCGGACAACCGTACGAGTGAAGGAATTAATGACGAATGAATAGTGATGTTACAGTTTGCGAGGGGATGGCGGGATGCATTGACGGCGGCTGCGACGGCTGCGACGGCGTCGACACCTCTTGTTTTGATGCTACGCTTGGTGGGAGGGGAGAGAGTTGTGGCGGGACTATAACCGCGACTCGGAAGTCTGGCGCGCAGGCTGGTTTGGTGACTCCAATATGGTGATGGTGATTGTTGTAGCAGTGTAGTAGTCGTTACGGTTTTTGTCGGTGGTGGGGAGGGAGGACGCTAACCGTGTGTTCCGTCGTTTTACTTTTGCGGGTCACCGTGTGTAGTTGGTGGGTCAGCGACAAATGTTCCACGCAAAAGAGTGAGGTTGCCTGAATTTCGTATATTACTATATTAGCTTTGTGCTATGGTTGAATGCCAGGCTGGATAGGGTACCGTCGTTCGTCGTGGTTGGCAAACTGCTGTAGCTGCAGTGTGGCGCATAGATAAAAATATTGTTTACATGTGATTATGTACTCTGCAACTCTTCTTTACTGGTCATTTGTAACTATCAAGGTAGCCTTTTATTGAGACCAAAAATATAAAAAAAAATGTTATTTTGACATCAAATAGGAGATGGGTGAACGAGTAGCTATTAATAATAACAATACTATGTACTTATTATATTTTCCAATACAGAACAATGGTACGATAGGTACTTATAAACATAACCTATAATAATACTAAACTAATGTACATTTTTATTGCAACTACTATTTACATTAATGCATATTTTTTAAAGAATGTTCTTTTCTAAATTCCAAGTACTTACTCAATGAATCATATTTACGTAGGTACGTTGTTTTTCCTGATCAATTTTGAGTAACTGATTTTTATTTTATCTATAAATATAAATCATTCATACAACAAACACTATGACAATATCCAAAAATATCTATGATTCCACAATTTTATTTAGATGAGGAATAGTATTGAACATCCAGCATGCTATATTTAAAAACAATTTCTGTTCGTCTTATTTTAGATGGTCCTTCAAAATGTTTTGCGTGCCCCATATTTAGTCCTATCAAATGTTTTATAAGAGAACAACAAAACTTTTTTTTACAACAAACATTTTTTAAAATTTTTAGAGTGCACTTCGCATAGTCCTAAGACCTACGGTGACGGTTAGTGTTCGGCCTCTAACCTTTGGTGGCTTAAGTGCACTCGGTAATCACACTATCATGTGCGTCGTTATTGTCACTTATCACGGTAATATTTAATGATATTGTTCATGGTTCAAATCATCATGCAATTAACGTTAATTTCCCACATCTTGGTTAACACTTTTATACCTTTAATAGTTATCGTTATGGTTAATCATTACTGTCGTGGCCCATACTCCCCAGCACCGCATAGCACATCTTAGACGGTTTTTGGTGTTATTGTTGTTGTGAATTTGTAACCTATAGTTACTGTAACGTCGAGAATTGTGTGTTGTTCATCACTATCAATAATTGATAACGTTTAACAGACAGAGATAAGGAAAACTAGTAAAATTTAATATTTCCATTTTTTTGAAAATTATTGAGTAGTGAGCTTCTTATTATTATTATTAATATTAAGATCACCAATAACCAATATAACCATCAATCACCATTCACCATTGTTCAATTATGTTGACAAACCACAAATGATTACACGATTACATAGCCACAGAGGTAAGGTTTACTATGTTGATTAAAATATAATGAAAAATATCACTAGCTCATTTCATACTTGTTCAACATATTTTGATGCGCATATGCTGTGCACGTATCATTATGCATATCTGTGTTTAAATATAAATGGTGCAACTTTTGATGTACAGACAGTTATATTTTTATCACTTTTGTTTGGTCACTTTTGGTAATATTAAGACGCTAACTTAGAGTTAGGTACCAATAAAAGTGTCAATCCTATTGAAAATCCTTACTTATTATACAGGTATATTATGCATAAAAGTCCTTAATTTGGCGGTTATTACCTTGTGAATGCGTGGGTGATTATTTGTAGATGATTGTCTCCGACAAAACAGTACTTCATTACTTAAGTTAATCTGCAAATTTATTCTATTACAACTTGTCAGACTTTATACTCAGAATAACATTTTAAAAAGATTAAATAGGTAGGTAGGTATGTAGGTATTTTCTAAATGCATTTAAATCAAACATTTAGATCATTACAAAATGATTTAGTTCAAATCAATTAGGTACCTAATAAAATAAAGGTTTGTATTCAATTACGTAGATACATTCTAATATTAATATTATATTAATATGTGATAAGTTTATTAGGTATACGATTAACTAAACGTTGGCATATTATTAGTAACACATTGTTATTTAAAAACTTAAGTTAAATCCATTAAATAATTTTTGTTGATTGAAAAAATGTACATTATTTAATGAGCAATTCTAATCTAGCCTCCAAAACCATAATTGAGTAGAATTCACTTTGTCTACCTAGTACCTACCTAATTGCTAATATTATTGTCTGACATAATGAATTACTTGATCTATAAAATGCCATTGGTTTACATTCCTTCTATTACACTAATGTATTTGTGAATAAAGTACGGGCATCATTTCTTAGAATAGGTATTAAATTAAAAATGTTTACTACAATTCATAAAAAATATTCAATGTTAAACAAATATACTATATTACTAGATTGATATTTAAATTCAAATAATTAATAATGTGTCTTATGTAGAATACTAATTAATAAATCCATTATTAGAACATTGTAATTGTGTTTTTTGAGGATTTTTTGTCAAAAATAATAATTTTGATGAATCTACATATTATAATGCTCTTATTAAATAACTTCATCGGTCATCGCTTATTTTCTTTGCAATTATATCGCATAATTTTGTCAACCTGAAATTTGTATTTTTTAGAGTTGTTATTTCTCTCGAACGTTTACATTTATTGTTCTTAACCTTATTGTTCATATTAATCATATATTCTGTTAACTCATTAAGTTTTCTTTTTATTTCCTTTACTATAATAGTTGGCCTTTCAAAGTCATTTTCAGATTGAATACTTGAATTGCAAAATGAATTACTAGAGCATTTGGTTAGGTTGTTTACATCAATATCTTTTTTAATTTTTTGCATAACTTTTAACCATTCATCTGTATGTTTCAAACAAGTTGCTAATAATTCACTTAGTTTATATTCGTTGTAATCATTTAATTTTAAAGATTCTTTGCTTTCTTTAATTGATTGTTCAACTTTTTTTTTTGCAATGTTTAATTCGTTCATATTATTCATTCCTTTTTTACAAAATTCTTCATGTTTATTATTAATATTTAAACTGTTTAATAATTCTTCACATCTATTAAGAGTTTCGTGAAATTGTGATTCTTGTTTGTCTATTATATTGTTAAATTGATTCTTATCTTTTACATTGATTTGATTTATTCTGTCATTTTGCTCTCTTTGTGTTTCATATATATTGCCTTTTTCCTGGACCATTGTATCACTATATTTTCTGTATAATTCTATAAGTAAATGTGATTGAATAATTATTATTAGCTGGAAATAAGTTATAATAAAAGTACAAATACCAGTGAAACCTAAAATTGCCGGTACTGATTGATTCATGAAAAAAGAACTTAAAAAGTAATTACTTCCTTACTTAGATATTTTGTTATCAAACTACATATTTTTTTTTAATGTTGTCTTATGAAATAAATACAATATTGAAATATTCGGTATTACAATAGTCAAGTGTGCACTAATAGATAATACACCTATGTAATTATTAAGGTCCAGTTTTAAATGCTATAAAAACTAAAAATTCTCTAAAAAATACCTTTTCAAAGCAATAATGCCCTTATAAAAGTAGCAAAAAAAATTTTATAGGCACTCAACTCAATTGATAGAAAAATGAAGTTTTAATTTTCACTATTTTTAGCAATTTATCTTACTTAAACTAACGATAATACAAAAACTAAATACTAAACTTTGGTACACTCATTAATTAAACAGTAAACTGAAAATAAATGTGATCGCTATGTATCTGCAACTCCAACTGAACAATTAGTTGTTAATTTATTTTAAATCCCAGTAAGACAACTCATTTGATAATCATTGGAGATAGATAAAGACGTTATTGCTTTCTTATATGAAACAATTGAAGTTTGGTTTTTATGAATAAAACTTGCAAACTATTAAAATAAACAATATTTCACGATATATTACTATAAATTAGCAAATCACTGAAACGCCTAAAAATGAAAAAATATTGAGAAATGCAAAATAAAAGTTTCATCTTTAGAGTATAATATGTTACATGAAACCGATTATGTTCTTAGAATGCATTGTCTTAGAACAATAAAAATATAATGCACTTTGCATTGAAATCTAGGCCCTAGTGATAATATTCTTTTTTATATTCAGATTTTGTTTAAAACAATTTTCATAATTGAATTTATACTTAAAAAAAAATTAAGTAAAAAACTGAACTACAATTTATATTCTTTTGGAATTTGAGCTAATTTGTATTCTAAAAGCTAATTAGACCAAAAACGTGTTCCAACATACTTGAGTCTTACATTGATCATAATTTTGAAAACAGATTTTATTTTATTGTAATGTAAGCTTTGAACCTACAACCACATTTTTTATTTATTATTCTTTAAATGAAAAAATCTCGTACTTTTATAAGTATTAATGAAAAAAATACAGATTAAAATTTTTTTTTAATCCTGGCTCAAAGGAATGAAAACAGACTTCACAATAAATCCATATAATATATGTTTATATATTATATTCATGTTTTCAGAATTATTATTGAAATAAAGTCACTATGTTTGAAAGTGTGTCTGTAGATTATAGTAGATTATCAATAGTGACGAATCTCCTTAACCAAGACCAATATTTTATTCAAAAAAGTGTTTGTCTTTAGGTTTTGAAAATTAAATTGATGAAAACATAGTTACATGTTATATATATATAATATATTTACTTCATTTTTATTTACCTTATACCTACTATTTATTATTAGGGCAGAAGACTTGTGGCTCTAAAAAATCACTAAAATGTGCAAAATATGCATATTATAATGTATTACAAATATGCATTTAAAAAATAAGATTATTTGTATGAATATATTTTATTTAGATTTTGATGTCTGCGACGGACGTCTCCTTGACCTGTATTGATAATATCTTATGCTGTGAACAATATCTGTTTATAAATAAAATTAATAACCGTAAAATAAATTATAATTGACAATCCTCGATACGTGTCTCTATGAAAAACATGCGTATAGGAACAGTCAACAACCATATTAATATGATCAAAATTTAAAATTCAACATTATTTTAGTTGTATATTAAATATTTGAATTAAATAAAAACGTTGACGGTATAAACATGATAAATTATTGAAAATATGCAGCTCAACGTATAGAACCGAAGAAATATGCACTAATCCCCATAAAAACTCAAAATATGCATTTATATGCAAAATAAAATTTCAAAACTAGTTTTGTTTAAGTATGAAACGTATTTGTTTCTTACTCTGCTATTGTAGTGATCGTGCAAGCAAATATGCAAATGCTACAAGTCCTCTGCCCTATTTATTATAAAATTGTAATTACCATATTTATTGAGTTCTATTGGTTGTTTTGTAATATTAATTTCCTTATTATTGAATTTTGAGCTTTTTTTTACATCTTTGGAATCCTCAAATTCTAAATCTTCTTGTATTATTAAAACAATGACAAGTTCTATGTACCTACTAGTACCAAGAAGCTTATAACTCCTAATAGATACATCTTGATCCCAGTTACGTCCTATTATTTGAAATTCTTTTAGCTTAATAATCACATGTCCAATTCTTTGTCTCCTGTATACATTTCCATAAAATACTTTTTCTGTCGTTCTAAAGCATTCGACCTTAACAATTGCATTTGTTGATCGACTATATTTTAGTGTAGTTTTGTCAATTTTCCATATTAACTCTTCATAAAAGTTTATTCGATTTCTACACGCCGAAAGAGATTTAGATTTTTTAGTTTCATTGAAAACTGTTATCTCAATTTCAATTTGGCCTTCAATAAGCTCAAACCCAATTCCATATTGAATGTTCACAATTGCATTTAAATCATCAGATTGTAACTTATTCATTTCTATTTTTGATAATTATCTAAGTATAAAGAATATTAATACAATTGTAGTAGGTGTTAAATTATTATAACTTAAAAATTGAAGGCAAACAAATTACCAATGTATTACTTTGAAAATGGAAAAAAAATTTTTACTAATCAATTAGTACCAAAATAAGAATTTCTTCTATCATAAAGGTGGATGCATAATTGACATAGAGTTAAGGTTGTCATAATGTGTTGATTTTGTTTAATATTAATTATTAGTATATTCTTTACCAAAGACTATGCAGAAAATTACTAACCAGATAGTATTTATTTCCCTAAAAATTAATACATTATCAACATATTAATTATTTAATAAAACCATCAATAATACTTAATACTTATTAAAAAATAAGTTTGATAAATTAGTATTATATGAATATATTGGTCTATATAATAATATACATGATGGATGGATGAACAATCACAAAATATTTAATGAATCAATAGTAAGCTAATGGTCCCTTAAACATGATTTAGTGGCTGATGATTGATCCGTTAAATTGTATTGAATAATTAAATTAATAATATTTTATACAACCTGGAAATAGTAAATAGCTATACAACTCATGTATATTATTTTATAAATTACTGATAAGGTTATGCATGATGCATATTAAATATTTCTTAGAAAATGATTGTATTACCTAATTCAATATAAGGTAGCTAATAAGTTGTTATTACTTTTTCCATATTTTTTATTACCTTTAATTACCAGATTAAAAATCAAAATTTTTGGGGCTTAAAACTAATGTATATAAAATGAATATGATCAGAAATGGCATTATTTTTAGTTATGTTAACTATCACATCTGTTATCAGGCTTCTTGATTTTTGATTACCTAGTTTCATTGTCTAACATAATGTGCTGGTATAAACTTTACAGTCTTTAATTCATAACGAAAATGACCCAAACAATTTCAGTTTGTCCTAGGGCATAGACCAGTCTCGAGGGCAGAGGTTATGCCCATGTATGTGGCTAAACAAAATGTTGAAAGACCCAATAAATAAAAACAAAAAAAAATTGAACAAGTGATATCAGTATCATGTTATTAACTAAAATGTTTTTAATAAATTGTTTGTACAACCCATATGATGTCATAAAATAGTTTATTAGGTTAATAAAAATATAATCATCCATTGTAATTAATTAAATTAAATAAATCATTATTTATATCATAATTTAATATTATTATTTATTAGGTTCCATACCATGTAAGTATTAATTGTTTGTATAATATAATAATAGTATATTACATGTTGACATTAATTTTATTGTTTCAGTTTCAATGGCTATTCAATCTTTTATTACTTTCATTTTGTATTTTGAATATAATACAATTTGTTATTTAAAAGACAAATGAGCTATGGATTTCAATTTTGAAAATTGTATTAAAGAAGGTTTGAAAAATTTGACGAGTAAGTTTTACTTAATTTATTCGCCTTACCACATTCATTTAATATATAATATGTAATGTCACAAATTTTGTATCAGGTATTTAAGTAAACCTAAAAATACAATAATATTCCTAATGTGTTTATAGTTTCACCTGCAGCTAAAAACAAAAATGAAGAAGAATATTTCAAAGAAGTCATGCAGCAAGATGACACAGGAGTTATTATTCTTAAGAGATTATCTGGTATTGATCTACCAATATTTTATATACCAGTAAGTACAAATTGGTTTTAAATCATCATTGTAAAATAATCTTTTAAAAAGTTCAAATATTAGCTATTCATTATTTTGTATACTTTTAGCAAATTGCCGAAGAAGTCAACGTTTTTAAAGCTCAACTAAGAGCTGAAGCTCGTGGTCGATTTTTCGAAAGAGAGCTGTCAAGATTATTAACTAGTGAAGAGTTAAAAGTAATGATATAACGTCTTAATATTAATACATACGTATTACGTAAATTTCGTATTTTTAATAAAAAAAAAAAATACCTAGTTCTTGAATATATATTTTCATTTTTGATAAAAAAAACTGATTTTGATAAAATATAGTTTTTCAAAAAACAAAATAGTATACTTAATTGAGAACAGTATTTCAAATTTATGTAAAATGTCTTTAGGCATACTTTATTGTGTATGTTTACTCAACAAGCATCTATCTAAAATAAAAATAAAATAAATAAGTGCTGACCATTTTGACTGTACTAAAAACATGAAATATGATAAATGACAATATTAGTAGTTAAGCTCCTTATGTTTTTTGATTAGTCCACAAATCTTTTTTGAATCATTTGTACAAAATAAAAGCATTTAGCCCTTATATTTTAGTATTTCTATGAATAAAATATGTCCCTTGTCCCAAAATGTTATCTTATTTTTAAATGATCAGCTGAAGTCTAGAATTTGTGCTTTCGATTCCATAATCTGTCAGTCATACATTAGTTAAACCATATCACTAAGTTCCTTTAAAGCGACTCTTAGCAACTTTGGTCTTTTATCAATAGATATATAAATCATAAATACTGAAAAAACTGTTCTATTTTAAGATCCATATTTTAATTTCCCCAAATTATGATGTTCAAACTATTTTATTATCAAAATTATTAATACCACTTTTATGATAAAAACTATTGTGACTGCTGTAAATCAAAAACCATAATAATAAAACATTTAATGTAATTTATTGTACCAATTTTGAGTCACTGAGTTATGTTAGTAGGAACATGGGCTCACTGTTAGTTCATTAAATGTTGAACAATTGTTCATGCTTGATGTAACTTCTAAAATGATTGCTTTAATTTGTTTCAGTATATGTGGTCATTGCTTCAAGAGCATCAGACATCATTAAATGATTTTATTCATAATCAGTACATAAATTATAACAATTTTATTCAAGTCAAACAAAAATTAAATGATAAATACCAGTAACTATAATATTATCCGTGTATTAATTTAATTTTCATTTCTTTTTTCATATGTTTCACTTATACAAAGGATTTAATATCATATACTACAAATAATAATGAGTCATAAATATTTCAGATTGTTTTTCAACCCTAGTATATTTCTACAGTTACAAGACAGTAAGATCAAAGGTTATTTATCAATAGATACATTCTTTAATTATATAATGAAAAAAATATGGATAGACCAAACTAGAAATGGACTTTCTCAATATGATTCTAGTGGTTGTGGTTATCTAAGTGAAGCGGTAATATGTTTTTAATTAAATTTATATTATTATCTTAAATCTAAATTGTTTGTAGTGTTTATTTGAATATTAATCACATTAAATAATGACAAGTAATGAAGAATGTCGAATTTATGTTCAACAATTATCAGTTATATTACTTAATTTCTAATTAAAAAATAATAACGTTATAAATGCCCTAATTGTATTAATACTTGTATTCATTTAATTATAGTTATTTGATTTATCAAACAAAATTGTTATTTTTTCAGGATTTTGAAGCTTATATTTTAGATCTCATACCTACATTAACACAGTTGAAGAAACTAGAAAAAATGTTCTATTCATTTTATTCGTGCATGGTCGTAAGAAAATTTTTTTTCTACTTGGATTCTCTACGAACTGGAAAAATACAAATCATTGAAATATTATCTTGTGGTTTTCTCGATGAACTGTTAGAGGTATTAATATATTAAAGCAGGGGTTCTTAACCTTTTCTGGGATATGGACACATTTAAAATATAAAGTCTATATTCAAAAATTCTTTCCCTGACAAAAATATGTGTTTTTGATTATTATTTATTATTTAAATGTGATTTAGTCTTAATTATGACCAATATAAAAAATCCAGAGCCGCAGACGTATGTAATGCCTAATAGAATCAAAAATATCATTGCCTTGGATGCAGCTAGTAGATTTCAATGTACACCAGAATTCAACTAATTTGTATAAAACCATGGTGTGGTTATTTTGACCATAAATCAATCTTAAATTATGTTGTCTTTAATGAGGTCTTAAACATATTTTTTCTATGATCTGTAGTGCCCACTAAAAAAGGATATGAATATCTGTGTTTCTGTTTGTATGTTGAATTTAAACAAAAAATATATATCACTTATAAATGTATTAAATTTAAAAAAATGTATAATTTTGGGTTACATGAAACATTGCAGATTCAGCTATTAAATAATCCCAAAAACAACTAATTAAGAACCCCCATATTAAAGTTACTTATATAAATTGTGTGCATATATATATTCTGCTTTTATTTTTCTAGCTCCGTGAAGAAAATTGGAGTAAGGAATCGCAAAAAAAAAATTGGTTCTCTGTTCCATCTGCTCTTCATATTTATTCATCATATTTAGAATTGGATAAAGATCATAATGGATTGTTAAGTCGCCAAGAAATAACAGGGTATACACAATTATTTCATTTAATATATTATACATAAATTGAACATAATTAATGATAATTTTGTAACAAATTTTACGGTGCATACTATAAATTCCTCTCAAAATAAATAAAAATATTAATATGCACCAGTTAGAATTAAGTAGGTAGTGGTTTATACACTTGACTAACATACACAACGTAAATAGATGAATATATGTATTCAAAATATACTGTGCTAAACTTATCATTATAAAAAAATATGTTTATGTACAGTAATTTTTATTTAATATAATATTAAATAATAATAATAAACATCATAAGTTTATATAAATAAGGATAGGTATATGAATATATATCTACTTTGTAAAGATATAGTGAACATAGTGGTTCTATTTTAAGTCTGGGAAGAACTTTACACAACAATTATTGAGAATAATGTAACTGTGAAACACTTTTGTTAAGATATTTAGAACTATATAGTACAATTAAAAAATATCATTATTATCATAATATCCATAGACATAAATAATAGTTAATTCACATGGATTGAGTAGTATTGTTATAACTTAACTAATTATACAGTTGGTCAATAAATAAAAATTTGTTTTTATAATTAAATTATAAATATAAATACGAAATTTTTTAATCATTTAGGAAATAGAAACCATTTATTACCTGCCTACTGAGAGGCTACTAGTACTACACCAGTACCACCCTTATCGTTTACAAATAAATTTAGGCTGCGGTCACCAACCATACTTAGTTTTTTATTTTTGTTCAACAAAATGTTTATTAAATAATCATAATATAAGACTTAAATTTATACAATGTGCTGATGAATTATTGTAAAAACTATAGACTTACAACTGTATTATAAGTTATAACACTTCAAAATAGTGTTACAGTTATTTTTGAATTTATTATATTTTTAACATAAAATTTAACTATAATATTTAAATACCTTATTATTAATAATTAATAAATGTTTGTATTGATCTTTCATAATCTACTCTGCAGTAGAATAATTATAAAAATAATTATAAGTACCCGTTTAAATGTGGTCTATGGTAAAAATGGGAAATCTTACAAATATTCAAACTGTAGATGTATTGCATAAAAAATTGATTAAATTTATAGGTTCTCTAAAATTTATGGACCAATCATAGGCTTTAACCATAATTATTTAAACTTCAATTACTCACTATTAATTCATTAAATGTTTAGTGCAACCCAGCATAAATGTGTTAAAATTGATAAAAGTTGTTTAAATGTTTTCAAATTAATCTATGCTATGCACCGTGTTGCTTTTAATTCTAACTATAAAATACAAGAGTTACAACTTTAGGTTTGTTATAACTGGCCCATTTAATGGCAAATTTACCAAATGCTTAATATTTGAGCTTGGATTTTTCTGTATCAAAATATTTACATAAATATTATATTGTACAAACAATTTCAAAAAATATTTTTTACTATATAAATATGTAATTTAATGTTTATTTTTATAGCATAGATTGCAACTAATAAATTAAAGGAACTCAAGTTTTTATTTTGGTTGTAATATAAAAAAATTGTTTCAGAAAAAATATATTGTTTTTATGAATAATGGCCCCAGGGCCACAAATTAATATAATCCTGGCCACTAGTTGTGACTTACTAGTAATATTTATTTTAAATTAATTGCATTAAAGAAGTTACATAAAAAAACTATATTAAAAAAGAAAACAATATATTAGATACAGTATCTTAAAAATTAAATAAAACAACCAAACTAAAACAGACTAAACCACAAAACATGCACAATGGTTGTCATTTGTAGACTTTTCGGATATTCATAATACATTTTTTTAGATACTTCAATAAAATACCTGATATTTCAGCCAAATCATGATCAATTTTGTGTCTGTTGCTCATTAAATGGCATCTGAGTATTAACATTGGTAAATATTCACAAATAAATTGTTCGTATCGTAAATCAAACACATCATTACTGACTTAATGGTTTGAATTTAACAGTAGTATCTCACATTAAATATTTAGGTATTTTTTTATCAAATGACCTATATTTTAACAATCATATCAATGCTATGTTTAAGACTGCTCTCCATACATTCAGTTTCATATGTTGCAGTTTCTTGGAGTTTGATAATCCAAACTGCTTGAAAATATTATTTTTTCTCTCTTGTTCAATCTATTTTAATATATAGCTCGGTTATTTGAAACCCTTATCTATCTAACCTAATTAATAAAATTGAACATACTCAAAATCAACTTTTATGTTTTTTAATACAAATAAATTAGGCACATCTTTCTAGCAACTAGCAGTTCAGTTTATTATTGTATCTCTTGAAATAAGAAAATTTAATGATGTGCTCTGTCTTTACAAATTACTAAACTTTCAAATTTTCTTTTCACACTACTGAGTGTCATAAATATCTCTAATGTTTAAACTCGTGTATCTCAAATATTCTACTCAAATACCTGCCTAAAGAATTATAGTTTGCTCTTATCAACTGAATGTATTAAAACATTTTGACTTCATCAATGATAACTTAACCAGGTTAAAATGTTTAATGTATTCATAAATAATTATATTTGTTATCTTTTAATTAATTTAGTTCATAAAGATTTGTGCACTAACTATTAAGTTTTTGTTGTTTTGAATAAGCTGTAGTGAATCCAATATTGGCATTTATTATCTAAAATTAAAATATTAGCGTTCTACAAACTTTTTTTGGAGGAGTTCTGTAGTATTTTGGTATACATGTTGATACATCTTCATTTGATGCAAAATTATAGTGCCTTAAGTCTCTAACTGAATTTAGTTTTCCATAATAACAAATCTTCAACAAAAATGTTTGACCTTGCTCATGTGTAAAAAATGTCATAATCAGAAATTAAATTATTAGTGGTAATTATTATTAATATAGTCATAATTAATAATTTATTAATAATTTGTATGTAAAATTATAATACTAACCTAATTAATATGGAGTTGTAATAATGGTAAATTTGTTTATTATAGGTATAAATCAGGTGCTCTCACTTCAGTATTTTTAGATAGAGTGTACCAAGATTCATTTACTTATGATGGTGAAATGGACTACAAGGGTTATTTGAACTTCGTTTTAGCTACAGAAAATCGTCATGAACCCCAATCTTTACGATATTTATTCAGATTTTTAGATATAAAAAATCAAGGATACTTGGATTCATTTACCATCAACTATTTTTCTAGGGTAATTTTTTTTATTCACATTTAAATGTGTATCCAAATTGTTTTATTTGTATTTTTTTTACATTTCATGTAAATTATTTTATTTTAATATATTAACAACTTAAACTTTTATTACAATTTACATGTATCCTTAATTTTATTTGCATAGTGCTAAGTTTTAAAATAACTTTTTAATTTCAAGCACTTTTGTGAAGTACTTTTCCAATTATTTTTAGTTGTGATTGTGATTTACTTTGGAAGAATATTTCTTAAAATGTCTTACATAAGTTAATAGGTCAATTCTTATTTTTACATCTTGTGGTCTAGCATGAAATACGTGTAGTCAAATATTAATAAGTTAAAATGTTGATGATCTTAAGAATGTCAATTACAAAATATCAACAGATTATATTAGTAGGAAATATTTGATGGGTTAAAATTATGATAGACAATAAATCATAAGGTGACAAATTGAAATTCTTATCAAACATATTTTATTTTTTTTATTTTCATTTATTCTTCAAGAAGATAATAAACTCCATTGAAACAGTCAATTTTTCATGAATGAAAACAATTTATTCTTGATATTATGATTATTTACGTTTTAACTCTTGCCATTTTTTTCTGAATATACTATGATTATCTTTTATATTTATTGTATTCTAGTATAACTTAATTTGTTGAGTTATAATATTGTAATTTTTCTTTAATATTGTATGAATTAAATATAAATTTATTTATTTTGTATCAGAACTTTTCTGTTTCAAGTTAGATGTTTAGATTTTAATACATATTAATTGTTCTTAGAATTTAATCTTAATTTATGTAATACTTTGGGTTTTATATAGACATAAATTAGTTATAGTGTTTTCTGAGTTATATCTTACGTTATTTGTTAATTTTTTCTATAGTCTTTAATTTGTATTATTATATCATACTAGAGGTTAAGTACCTATATAAATACATACAAATTCTTAAATTACTATTGTAAATACTCCAAAGAATTTGAAGTGATATTTCAAGGTTATTTGATTTTGCATTATAATACACATAATATAACAATTTTCTATTTTGAATAAACTAATTGCAAAAATATTAAAACTTAAGTTTCAATAACAATAATTATTAGCTATTTAAAATTATTTATAATTATTTTTTTCTTAATATTTAAATTAACCTCTTCAGTTTCATTTGTTTTTGAAAATTTGAGTAACTATTTGTTATACTATAAAAAGTTAAATAATTCCTGTCATTGGCTATCATTTGCATGGACAATATTTACAATATCGTACCTTTTTTATCACTACAAACTGTGTAGGTAGGCAGTTTTTATCTGTTATCCTAAATTGTTTGTTTATTTGAAGGTTAAGTATAAAAGTTATTATTATTTATTTTATTTATTTACTATAAAGGCACTTAATTTGAAGTAAATCTTTAGAAACTCAGAAAATATCATCTTTACTAAATTTTTTAATGTTCTATTTAAATAGTGTCCATACTACCTTTAAAAGTTTTACTTATGATAATTTGATGTCTCATAAATTAAAGTATATACATATAAATAATGTTCATAAAATATTAAAGTCATTATTATATTTAACACTGTACAAGCTCTGAAATATTGTTATTGTTTTTTTAACTAATACATTTTTTTTACAGGCTGTTGCTGATAGATTACCAAAAGAGCAACAACAAATGGTTTCATTGGATGATATAAAAGACGAAATATTTGATATGATCAATCCTGAAAATCCAGGAAAAATAACTTTAAAAGATATCATACGCAGTAAAATGGGTCATATATTAGTGAACATTTTAATAGATTTTAATGGATTTTGGTCTTATGAGTTCAGAGAAACTCTAGCAAATAATCGTATCCCTGACAATAACTTTAACGAAAGTTTTGTTACACATTAACACATCACAAAATTCATCTCAATTATAAATTAGGTACCTAACTATTAATTAAATCATCTGATTTGTAATTTAACTATTTATAACATTCATGCCGTTGTTTAAATTTCATACTTGTATTTTATCAATTATTCAAGAGTATTAAATGAATGGTAGAAAGCAGAATTTGTTTGTATTTATCATTTTTTTTTTATTAATAATCTCAACATCAATGTTATAAATAAATAAAATATACTATAATGTCTTACTATTGATTAGAATTATTAGTTAAGCATATTTATTTTTTAAATGTAAAAACTACTATTTATTAATGTAATGGAGTGTTTGTCACTATTTTTGATAAATACTTTAATTGTATTCATTATCTATCACTACTTCCACCTATCACATAAATTAATTAATTTAATGAACTTTTGATCATCATAACATTGTAAAAATGTTTGATGTGTTGGAATAAAATAGTTTTAATGTATACAAAGATGATTGAAGATTTCAACTATGATGATTAATGTATACCAAATATTATACTAATATTTTACCCATACAATATTTATTTATATTAACCTATTACATAGCTTTTATCGCAGGCCTGGCATGGTGGCTGAAAAAATATTTTTGCACACCAAAAAGTGTGATCGAAAGTCGTAAGATCTTATTTTTTTTCTTTTCAGTCACCGAGCTTAAAAAGTTGAACTTGAATTAATATCATACAAAAATACATGATACATAGCTACAAAAAGGCTGTGGAATAGCTTTACCTTGGCAGCCCTCGAGTACCTCAGACTTTTTTTTATTTAGGCAACCCATGTAGTTCTCATGGGGGTCTGCAGTATTTAATTTAACACTTATAAATTATAAATTGTAAAAATATAAAACTAAATAACTAGTCTGATTATACTGTGGTTATGTGTGTCATCCCTAGTATGATTTATACATCATAACTCATAAGTATATTGTCTTAGCTTTGACACAAAATTACATTCTATATTTAAAACTAAAATGTGAGTAGGTCATATAGAATGTATGATAATTGAATTGAAAAACTGCTTTATAAACTATATTTTATTATCAGCCTTATATTGAGTATTTTTTTCTGCAGATTGAATCTAATGACTAATTTTTATTTAACTTATATTTTATAAATTATATCACATTGGCAGTACTTACCCATTTTATGTTGATTGTTGACACCATAAACTCAGAAACTCAATACTTTTATGTTAAAACCTCGTGTAAATTAGATTTATATGATGATTATTTTAACAAATAATTTGACATATTTTGGTGTTATCAGCTCTTGATTATTACTAGCATTGGTCAAAAATTGAAAGAAACCCTATTTTAGTTGTAAAATCAACATGCTTCAAATTCTAAAATATTGTATTTCATAGCTCACACAAAGTTTTTAAGCTATTTATTTATTCATGTCCAGTATTAACAATTATTAAGATTCTTGACCTAAAGTTTGTTGTAGAGTTGAAAGTTGTATTTGGAGCAGTGTTGGGAAGGAACGCGTTCTTTTTATAGGAACGAAGCACGGAACGCGTTCTATTTAAAATATAAGAATGAGGAACGGGAAAGAGTTCCTATTTTTAAGGAACTTGAAAGAAAATTTCCGTTCCTCAAATAATGGAAAAAATGGTTATTTTTAACACGTTGAGTGCCACAGTATTTATGAAGCGCATATTATAGTGTGTTCCCGCGCCAAAACTGAGCCGCGACGCCGTCGGTTGACTACACTGTCGACACCGGCTCCGCGCGCCATGGACCAATAAACGAAATACGTTCTCGAAATATTGATGCGTTTTACAAATAATCTGTACAACCAAATAATAATAATTTTGTCGTAGACAAATGGGAATCAATAATTTTCATTTTTTTTTTTTCATTTAAAGAAACTTTGTAAACAATTAGCTTCGACAATTATGGTTATAACAATATTACATAAGAAAGCAAGATTAACAACAAAAATAATATTACAGATAAATTAAATTTTTAAACCAGTCTGGTTGATAAATAATTTTCATTTAAGATTCATTGTTTGATAAATTAGTTCTTCTCAAACAAAACAAAATGTAAGTAAAACAAATTTTTTCATCTTTATTATAAATAAAAATAATATATAAATATTTTGACTTTAAAGTAAATTGGTGAATTATTTTTTTCATTCTTCATTTCCATTTTTTAGAATAGGAAATAAATAGAATTTAAAAAAAACAGATTGTTGTATTATACTATTTTCTCTGTGTCTTATAGGTACTCCTATGGGCTATAACCTATACCATGTCTCTATGTGTGGTGTATCCGGTATCGTGTATAGTATACACTGTAATACTGTATACTATAGTAATATACATGTTTAATATTATGCAATAATGCAATATTTATATTTATATAGACATAGAGTATAGACAGTGTTCATACTTCACATTATATATTTATATATTTTTTTTTTTTTATATTTATTTATATTATTTATATTTATATTTATATTTTATATTGATTATTAAATAATAAACAATTCTGAGTGAAGGAGTACATTTTTAGTCAAAATAATAAACTTTTTACTGGGGAAAGTTTCAAGTCTACCCTATACAACTTTTGAATTATAACAAATACACCTAAGACAAATCATTTTTGTTAAAAAATCGGTACTCCTTAGAAAGGAGTGAGTTAACCGATTTGAATGGTGGTCAATGGTGTTTTTGAGAAAAATTTTTAAGTCAGAAATAATCGGACCGAGAGAGTTAACCGATAATTTCTGACTTAAAAACTGTTCGCAAAAAACACCATTGACCACCACTTAAATCGTAAAATGATGTGTAAAGGAACGGGAACGTGTTTTTTTTTCGCGACAGGAACAAGGACCGGAAACGAGTTCCTTTTTAAAAGGAACTTTCCCAACACTGATTTGGAGATATGAAAAAATAATGTATTGTTTTAAAATGTATTCGTTTTGTACATATTGATATAATTGTTAATAATTTCTGTCAAACCACATAGGCACCTATGTGACATTTTATACAACGTTTTCAGGTTTTTTGAATGATAATATGCTTAGACCTAGTTTAAAATGTATTTCAATATTTTTAAATAGTCTTTGTGTATAGAAAAATGTAATTTAAATACATATAGTGGAATATTTTATTATTATGGAAGTTTCTACAGTTAATATATTTCGAATTACTGCAAAATCCCCAAAATTGTTTGAGGATGCGTTTATTATACCTAGTCATTATGTTAAATCTTTGTTATACCCTGCACACCAAAATCCTAAATCCTACTTATTTCGTAAATGTATGAACTTAAATCATAAAATAAAAAATTGAACAAATGGCTTAAAGCTTAAATTTTTTTAAATTTCAGTAAAAATAGAATATGAGATATCTTGTATTACAATTTCAAGCCATTTTAGTCTTTGAATAAAAAAGTCATACATTTATATATACCATAGATACAAAAAATATGTATACAATTTCATGATTTTTATGATTTTAGTCAAAATTTGATTTCAAATGATTAATTACAAAAAAAAATAGTGACCATGTATTTTAAATATTTTTGATTTCCTACAGTTTTATTTTATTTTAAAATTATTTATTCACAAATCATTATAATTTAAAAAAAAAAACTAAAATGTTAATAAAAAAAAAATTGTACTCGCCATAGTGCATATAATGTATACTATTTTAATATGTGTGGTATAGGTAGTAATGTTTATAGTTATTATTTATGGATTTATACATATTATTGGTATTCATTGAAATCTGTTTCTAACTTTCCAATTTTTTAGTTCTTCAATATATTTAATCCATTTGCACCTGCATAAAAAACATACAGGTACTGCGAAGTAAAGATAAAATGGTATGACGAAGAAAAACAATCGTTCTGCTTTAATTATGGTATTAAAAATCACAACTGATATTTTATGTTGTTACATAACATTCAACTTAAATACTAAATACAAAAATCACATATACTCCAATAAACACAGAAATATTGATGCCCATGAGCAGGTTAGGCCAGGTCGAAATGTCAAATAGCACTTATTTTATACCCAGGAAAAAAAGGTAGAGTTTGAATTTTAGTCGTTCTGATTATTATCTACTTTTAATATATTTTTAATACCCAATATTAATCGACTCTTGAAAAAATAACTTGTAACGTCATGGCAACTTAAAAAACTTCAATTGCTCATAAAACAAAATTTTGCATTTGCATTTAAATATTTTTTTTTTAATATTATCTTTAAAAAAGCTTATGAAGAGCCTTGTTTTAAATGTTCATACTTTTTAAATCAGGTTATATTTTTTATTGACATTTATAGAAAACCAGGTTTTGAAAGCTCACTTTGCTCTTTAAATTCTTAGTTTCTAAACGTATTTTAATACAATAACTCATCATTCAATAAACAATTCATGTACAGTAAATATGGACAATAAATAAATAACTTTACGTCAAGTAAATAAGTAATCGCAATTACGTAATGATAATAAACGGAGTCGGGCGGACGGATACAACAAGGATATCAAGTGTTCTAAACTTAAGTTTCGAATACTAAAAAACTAAAAAAAATGAAATTGTCAGAATCCTATAAATAGCTTAAAAATATTTAGAAAATTAATTCATGTATAGGAAATTTTAATATTTGTTGAAGGTGAAATATTTAAATAAATATTTAAAGTATCTATATGCTGGTTGTTTGTTTTTGAGTTACACCAAACAAAACAAAAACGATTTAGAGTCAAATACTGAAAGTTTTGCACATAAATTCCCGTTTTCCTCAATTTTTCTTTATTTTTTCTCAATCTTACTTTGCATAGTATCAAGAATATTTTACCTCCCAAAGTACCGACTCTATACAGTTTTCTATCTAAAATCACCTCCCAAAGTTGAACATTTAATTATTTTTACTGCTCCAAAAAGAAATTTCAGACACAAAAAATAAGCCACAAATCATCGCAAAACCAGTACATTCATCGCTAGGTTCAGAATTTAATTTGAATTGTTTTTTCAAAATTAATTAATATATAAAATTTAAATACTATAAACTATAAAGTTTCTATTTTAAAATAGATGTATTTTAATATAGAGATATGTGGGTACTGGGTTGGTATAAGTATTTACGCTTTTTCCCAAATTTGTTACTTCGTGAAATAAAGTCATTAATTAGATCGAGTGCAGTTCGAATATTTGAAGTAAGGTAAACCATTTACGATTTGTCAGTGAACTGAGGTCCTACATTTAAACCGTAATTAACCGAGGGTAGAATTTTATTTTTTATCATTTTTTCTCAGACGAAGTCGGGTAATGTAGCTAGTTGTAGGTGTCTTATATTTATTTTATTTTATAACGTGTTTGTAGTTAAGCAAATCGGTCTGTAGGTACCGATATCAGGCACATAACCTACTATTTTGGCCATATGCATGAAACATAGCAAACAAGAAACGTTCTTTTTAAAGTCTTACCTAATTCAGAAATACATTGATTTTGAAAATGAAATAAAATCAAATGCTTTCATGAAGTTGTAATTATTTTTTAATA